TGTATGTAATACTGTCTCTTATTATTGCGTATGAAGCAGACCCGAGAGGTCAATAACCCCAACAATTATCTCACGACTCGGAGTCGGGTTTGAGCAAAGGAAACAACCACAACTCCATTGTTGCGCTTGATAGGTCAAGTTAACAATAATCAAACAACATGTTGAGGTCAAGGTAAAGCATAAACGGTAAAGTTGCCCTGTACTTAACTAATTAACCATTATGCCATGAAGGCGTATGGGGGAGTGAATGTATAGATCCACGTTTTCTTGTTCTGGGCAATAGTTGGAGGCGAATGTTTAGCTTGACGCCCTGGCCGCTTTATCCCTGGGGAAAGAGCCCTCAGTACCCATTCGATAGGATGGTGGAAGGACCCCAGAGCCGGTCTGGACTACGTGGAGAAGTGAACATTCTAGACCCTACCAGGATTCGAGCCCGACCCCTTGGTAGTCCAGACCGTGGCCCATCGCTTTCCCAGCTCCCCAAGGTGATGTGTAAGAGAAAAAGTAAATGTATCCCTGTAACAGGCCGTGGAGGCCCGTAGGGTTGTGAGATGTTGAGGTTCCCACATTTTCTAGACACTTGGCTCATAGATGGCAGTAAGGTTGCCAGTCTTACGCGCCGGCCGCCCTTTACCCCCAAGAATATTCCAAGAATATTCCTGGTACTCAGTTCTGTTAGAGGCTGAGTCGACCCCAGGGCCATAGTGCGGCTGGAAGGATTAGGCCAATTGAAGAAAATCCAATGACCTCATCGGTATTCGATCCCGCGACCTTCCGGCTTGTAGCATAATGCCTCAACCAACTACGCTACCGCGTACGATGGGAAATTTACAAGAAGACGCACGCAATTCGATTGGGGCAGGGAACAAATTTCCTTTGTGCGTTTCTTAAGATTGCAATGTCTGCTGCTTCAGTACGGTGGTATCTAATGAGACATTAGTTTTCATCCATGTATGTAATGACCGTCTTGTAGTGCACTCAATTTAACACGTCACTTCACTACATGTTTCGGCAACATTGTGCCATCTTCAGGTGCTTTATTTACGCTAAGCTATTGCGTTGCTTGCCACATGTGTCTTTCATAAAATTATTAAAATGTACATTCTTCATCAAATATAATATAATTTGTATACACTAAAACTTGTAAAGATTATTCATCTTATGCGTCTTAATTCAACCTCGCGTATTGTATGGTTCTTCCACTATGGGAGTCGTTTTTCCTAAATTTTTTGTGTACTGTATCTTGTGATGTGTCCTTCCTTTTTTGATGCGAGCGTTATAATGACAATAGTTGCCTGTTTAACCCTTTGAAGCCGAATTTTACTGGATAATATTTACGAATCTAGTTCCTGTCTGACAGGAAACGCACTGGGTTTCCATTACCAACAGACCGATCTGATTCCTTCTGCTCAAACTCGAACGCATGTAGCACCTCGCAAAGAAGACCGCCTATTATTGCGTTCGTGTAGCCATTGCCTCGGAAACGTGTTTATCGGCCGTTCCCTACCAACGGCCGTCTACTCTAGCTCCACAGTTCTGGCTTTACAGTATAAAGACCAAACGATTAACGCTGTTTGAGAGAATAATCGACGTTTCTTATGAGAATCATGAAACACACAAAGAGGCGTATGTCTTCAAACTGCGGTATTCTTTTCTGTTAAAGTAAGCAGTACATGCTGTAATTATTTCCCGTTAAAGGGTTAAGTTGCTATTGTTTATTTCGGCTTTAGTTTACGGGGGAGATCACAAAGTCTACAACATACTCTGTCGCCTAGTAAAAAATCAACCTACTAATTATAGACTGTGAAACAAACACAATATGGCCGACTTTTACTCTTTCGGTTGGAACACTTCTCATTGTTGTGTGTTATAAATGAAAACGCTTGCATTGTTACTACAGACATAGGCCTATACTTCCGGACCCACGAAAGGCCAACAATTAACATACGGATTTCGTATCTCGCATCCTCTTTGCGAGAGTTTCGAATCATGTTANGGAGTTATTATTTCAAACAATAGTTATAGAACTCTTAAGGCTAGAAGAAAAAAGATTTCTGCGAGGCGTCTGTTACTTCAGAAACAACATTCCTATATTTATATAACATAGATATGTAAGAAAAGTCAAAGAAGTAATTGTACTGATTAACAGTGGACTCTCAGATTTAAGTTAAGATCTATATTAAGAATCGCGGGGTTTTATATATATATAGCACAGAATAAGATGTTTATAAGAATGTGCTACAGAAGGCCGGATGGGCATTGCCTAGGTCTGTTTTGCATTTACAATATTTTTATACAATAAAAAAATCCCCATGGCCGTTATTCTCAGTTTTCTAGACCGGAGCCGCTATTTCCTTGAAATAGCTTTTCACTTGTCCTCACGAGGCTGAATGGAACCAATTCCAGACCCATTACTTCTCAGAAAATCTGGTAGCGCCGAGAATCGAACCCGGACCTCTGGCTCTGTAGCCAGAAACTCATAATAATATTAATAATAATAATAATAATAATAAGCCAACTATTAATACATTGTTATCGCCGTTGAACTTCTAGTATCAGCTGTCTTTGTTGTAGTTACAGTCCGTACAACAAAGTGCGGATCCTTGACCAAAGGCTAGGCCAAACCTGACATTATGTAATTGCCAGCAGAATGGAAAGTCTCACTTCTGGCGAGTCTCCCAGTGTTTCTACGAGTCGAATAATTCCTGGACAAAGGGCCTTGAATTTAGATCAGCTATACAAGGCCTGTAAAAAGTTATCTAACAGCCAAGAGAACATTATGACATGAATTGGAATTACATGGTGCTCCGAATGCTTGTCGGGGCCCATGGCATCCGGTATGTTGCAAGTTCATGGTTTACATAACCCAGATTTCACGTTCGTTTACATCTGACTGTTCATTCCGTTTAGGCATTTTCGGTAGCGTTATCAAAGATCTCAGAAATGGGCTGTGTGTTGATCTGATACATGTTCTGTTCCGTTAACAGTTTCTATGACAAATTGATACTTAGTCTTCCATCGTGCAAAATTCTAGGATAGTATTCTGGTTGGCAAGGCAAATATCTCGCTTCCGTTATGAAAGTAGGGTTGGATAGGCTTTCTGGGGCAAAGGCTGTGTATTCCCTTGGACTCGCTTTTTATCGCGATAAAAGAAGCTCTCTCCCACTTTGCGAACTAGCATATTTCTTATTCTTATTTTGGCAATATGACATGTCAGCCATCGGCCAATCAGCTGTTTACTCCGCAGCTGATCTTGATGCGCGCGCACATCGTATCCACCTGCCAGAAGACGTATTTGACAAAATGGAACCAGCATTGTGTATGCGTTTGTGTAGTGTAGAACATGTTATTGACGATGTGGTACATCTAATTAATTGTATTAAGAACTCGTGTAACAGCTTGAAAGACGGTTATGTATCGTTGTTTCGTGCATTATTCAGTCGTGGCGGAGATGAGGGTATTCGCCACCAAAACAAGGTCATGGAAGATTAGCGCTAACAGTTCACAAGAATCATGAAGCCTTCAGGCGAAGGTAAAATGGTTTCTGTGTCCCGAATCTCTAACAAAGCTGGTAGGACTTGTATGTTGTTTCGTTGCATCATTTTTTACAGGAAGCAGCAACCGACTGTAGTCTGGTTCGTACAGTGCACTAACTTCGTGCATTTTGGAAATTTGTTTTGTTGACGTACTGGCAAGTGTTTACGACATTTGGGCCTGTCTTGTATGTGTTGGTTTCCAAACTGAAATGAAGTGTGTGTTTGGTTTCAAACCAAATGAACGCACAACGTAGATAAGCAATGAAACGAATAAATATAGCCAGTTTTTATATTACCTTGAATAACAAACATTGCAAGTGTTTTTTCAAATTTGAAATAGTATTAAAAGTCAAGAGTTCATAATGGCTTGAGAATATGTTTGATTTTACATTCTTATAATTGACGGGATGAAAAGAGATACTTTATTATCGGATTTGAGGTGGAATGGACAGGATTAGAAATTTGTATGTTTTGAATCGTGAATTGACATTTATTTTGAAGGGATGTAGAGGGACAGTGGCCCCTCCATGTATAACGTTAATACATAATTGTCTTACAGCAAAAGAGTGGAACATGAGTGTGGATGTAATTTGGTTAGCTGCCTGGGTTTTTTTTTTTTGTCACATGGTTCGATCTGAAAGTTTTAAATGAGATGAAGCTAATCTGTGGCTCATGAGCCTCTTGCATCTCCACCCACCCTCGTTGGTGTCTCCACCTTATCGTGGTGAGGGGGTTTGAGTATGCCAAGGACCCTGAGAGCTATACCAGTGGTAGCGTAGCTACTGGCAGGGCCTCCCTTGAGATGTTTTCAAGTTCGTATAGCAACAGGCGTGACCAGAGTGGTTTGAATGGCTGTTGTGCTGCGATATGGAAAGCAAATGGAAAAACTACCATATTATTACTTTTCCTTTATAGTCTCCTTCCAAAAACAGAGATACCATGTATGTGAACCAGAAGACGAGGAAGAAGACGTAAGAAGATGCTGGATGACCTTGAGGACAGAAGAGGATATTCTCATTTGAAGGAGGAAGCTCTAGATCGCATTAAGTGGAGGAACTGTTTTGGAAGAGACTGTGGACCTGTCGTCTGACAGATTACTGATGAATGAATATATATATATATATTTTTTTAATTAATGCAGCTTTCAGAAAAAATATTGGTCAAGCCCTCCCCCATGTAGCTTCAGTATTAGTAATTTTCTGTGTGCGATGTGCATGCGTAAACATGTGTGCCGTCCATTCCACATTTCTCTGTAGCTCCCAAACTTCAGACCATTACTTTATGCTGGTCTGATGGTCATTATGTTTGACCATTCCTGATTTAAAGTAATTCTTCTCAATATGTGCTTGTTGCCTGCCACACACTGCAGGCAAGACAATAAGATAATAAGTTTTTCAAGTTCAGAGAACCAACAGTTATAGTTCCCGTTACATTCTTGGGGTTTCCTGTTTTGTTTCTCTGCAGACATGCATTCAATGATGGAAGGGCAGGATGGGGTGGAGCCTCATGACGTGTTTGTGGATCTGGGGGTGCTAATCGTCGAGGGCCGCATCCCAGGTGGAGCCTGGGCTGCTGGACGTGGCTATGGAGAGGGTCCTCATTGTGCTGGTGTGGGCATATCGGCGTTACCTGTGAGGCATGACTGTGATCCCAACAACAGTTTCCTGGTGAGTGTGAAACTTGGCTTATTTTGAAGTTTGGTCATCTGAGATGTGATGCTGTGTAGTCTCGTGGACCATTACCAGTGTTTTTTTGGGGGGGAACCCCCATTTCTTCCAACTTCACATTGTTCTGTGATATCTTAACAGTCTACTAGACAACCCAGCATTACATCCCAGAAGACAGTAGCTTTATGTTATCCACTGTTAGAACTCCCCCCCACCCTGTGCTGATATTAAAATTTTTAACGTGAAACAGCTCTTATGGAAGTCAACTTCTTTCATCATGGCTTAGGTGCTTGTTTATTTCAGATCCAAATGAGGGAAAACCATACATAAGCAAGATCCCTGAATCGTGTTATTGAATGTGCTACTTGAACTTGAATTAGAATCAGCGTCTGGACAGTAGTGCAGAAGTTTATGCATATCTGATTGGCATATTGCTTGCTCTTGACGTAAATAACTTTCTATCTGCATATGTTGGTAACAAGGCCAAGTAAAACAGAGAGAGACTAAAAAAACTTCCAAGTGGACCATTGTTAGGAGATCTGGGTGTAATTTGTGGCCAGTTTTCATGTTACCCGCTGTAGTGGTGCTGTTCTGGGGCACGTGGTAGTGTAGTTGGTTGAGGTGCTATGCTACAAGCTGGAAGGTCGCCGGTTCGAGTGCCGATGAGGTCATTGGATTTTTTTCAATTGACCTAAACCTTCCAACCACACTATGGCCCTGGGGTTGACTCAGCCTCTAACAGAAATGAGTTCCAGGAACATTCAGGACGACAGGCACGTCAGACTGACAGCCTCATCGCCATCTGTAAGCCAGTTGTCTAGATAATGTGGGAGCCTCGAAGTCTCACAACCCTATGGGCCTCCACGGCCTGTTACAGGGATAGCCTTACCTTTCTTTTTTATTCTAAACTTGTATTCAGGAGCTGCTTGGTTTGAACCTCTGTTAAGGCATCATCTGCCCTGCCTGAGGTGTGGCTTGTGTGTAAGCATCACAAATGGGATGCAGCACTACAAGAAAGCAAACACTAAGGAAGGTCAGTGCCAGAAACTCTATGATAGAGCACCACACCAGGAACATATTATTACATTACAAGGTCACAGACACTTTTTTCTTTTTTCCCCTCTCAGGCTACAGCCCCAATTTTGACCTTGGCCTCCCTCCATGAAACTCTCCGTTTCACTTCGATTTACTAGATCTTAGACATTTGGTAGGACTCCTTGGGCGGGTGATGAGCTCGTTGGAAGGCCTCTAACTGTACACAAACACATAAAAACGCATACACACACAAACACTAAACATCCATGCCCTGAGTGAGATTTGAACCCATGATCCCGGCTTCAGAACGAGTGAAGACAGTTCATGCCTTAGACTGCTCGGCTACCGTGACTAGCAGGACGTACACATACATGTATATAATAGGGGAAAGTTTCCGACTTTGTATTTGCAGGAATGGAAATCGTTTTTCAGAGCTATGTTAAGACACTCGCGTTTCAAACTAGGTACATGTTCCAGACCTGTACAAGAGCCCAACACTTGTTATATAGTCTGTTCCTGTATGTATTTTTTTGCCAATTATACTAATATTGACTTAGCATAGCATAGTTGAATAGGGTGTTCTGGAACCAAGTAGACAGTGTGTAGCTGCATCTACCCCAATTTCCAGCCCTGTATATATCTTATCAGACTAATTGTGTAAGTTATACCATTTTCTTGCTGTTATATTTTGTATGTACTTCCACAGGTGGCAGCTCTGTGTTCAAAACTGTGCCATCTGCAGAGTACTCTTCTGTACTGAGAATGGAGGTAGCATGTTTCTCAGGACTTCTGTTATCCATCCACCAAACTACACGGTGTCACATCCCAGAAAACCATAAACTTTAGTATACTGCCTTGCTTTGTATGTGAAGTCAACTGAAGTGCTGTAATGATACAGGAGAATGGTCACTCTTCAGACATTACCAGATGGTACATGAACAACATTTGTGAAAATAAAATTGTGTGTTTTTGCCCAAAATCAATCAAATTTGGAGGTCATGATTGTTTGCGACAAAATATACATTTTTCAACTAACTTATGTGTCAGAACTGAATCAGTTTGATGACAGTGCAACAAAACTAGTGACTTAGTATGATGGACATAATGTTACTTGGAAGTTAAAGGCATAAGTGAACTCCTCACGGTTAAAGCCATGTGTCAAACTTAACTTGTTCCAAGAAATAGGTGTTGATGACCGCCTCTGTGGTCTAGTGGTCAGCATTCCTGGCTGCAGATCCAGAGGTCCAGATTTTTTCTGGAGAAGTAGTGGGTCTAGAACGGGGTACACTGAGCCTCATGATGATAATTGAGGAGCTATTTCAAGGAAATAGCGGCTCCAGTGTAGAAAACCGAAATTAATGGCTGTGGGGATTCGTTGCGCTGACCACACGACACCCTCTATCTGCAAAAGTTGGCACTAAACTTCACCGACAAGCACCGGTCGTTTGGTCAGTATAGTTCGCTTGCGGACTGAAATCACGAAGTTTGAGTCTGATGTCTGTATAATGACAAACTATATCTTTAGGAGTGAAGACAGTTCAAACTTTATCTCGGCCAAATCAGGGGCTACTGTCTCATGAGAAGAAATACATTTATGATGTATACAGCTTGGCACATGAATAGCACATCTTTTAAAGTACAAGAAACACAGAACAAGTGAAAAATCTACTTCACTAACTTATACCACTCTGTTTCTAAAATTCTCAGATAGTACAAGACTGATGTGATCATATATATTGGATTGAACTGGCTCAGGATAGGTTGAAAATATAAAGAATAAAATAGCTTAAATTAGAGTTTTTTAGATTCAGTTTTTTTCCACCTTGCTAGTGACAGCAGAACTCAAAGATGTTTGCAAAAAAAAAACAACTGAAAATTAACTGAGTAAACTGGCATTTTCTTTTCTAGGAGTTACATTGTGATAGCCATCACAGATATCTCTTCATAATCTAGACAGAACTGCCACCTACCAGCCGAGGCAAAGTTCTGCTGTAGTAAGTTCATATCAGAAGTTGTATAATCTTCATTGGTTGTGAGTGTTTCAGGCAATTGTGAGTACCCTAATGTTTTGTGTGTGCAGTGTAAACGGGCAGAGAACTTCCGCAAACACATGCAGTTGCTATGGCAGAATAACATACCAATGTGCATCGAGGTGCTACTGTGTGCTGACTGTCAGTGTGGCCAACAGAAAGCTCAGTCTCCAGAGGTTGCCAACATACCCTCATCAACTGACCTGCTCTTGGAGCAATGGATTGTTACCATGGTGACCAAGAGGTCAGTGACTTTTCTTATAAACACCGAGACATCACTTAACCGTGATTCTCTAAAGGTTTGTCACAAATGCTGAATCATCATATGGATAGTATTGTCACATGTTTGCTAGGCAACGCGACAAGAAATTGTGTGGGTTCTCGGATTTGAACGAATACCTTTATTGGACAGTCACTTTCACACTCACACTTAATTTATTCTCCACTTATAATGTCTTGTATACGTTTCTTCTCCAATGTTACAACTCTTCTGCTCTAGTCAGATAAGAACTCTTTCCTGCTAAAGTCGAATACATACTGAATTAGTCTCTTGTTGACGTTGGACTGTTATAACTTGCCCTCGAACTGAGTAGGGAATACCTTGTTGAAGGATTAATTCTCCCCGCTGTTACTCAGTGAATGCGGGAACATGTGTCTGCCTCAAACAATTGGTGTGTAATGGTGGAAACTCCACTTGTTAGACTTTCATTTCTTAGGGCAACGATTTCCTAGGTTTCACTGCCTAGGAATTGCTAGCTGTTGTATAGCAAAGGATGTGTTCTGATTCCAAATATTCCAGCCCTTGGTGGCACGCCACAGTATATTGGATACTGTCCATCAGAGACATAACTTGATATGTGCACCATTATGGAAACTGGAACCATTTTTCATCATGGGTAAGGGAGAAAGGGTCTGCTCACTTGGGTCTATTACAAAGAGTTGGTCTCGATCACAGAACATTGATCTAGTTGTAATGGAGGAAATGATCCTACTCAGTTGAGTCCATTAGGAAAAGATACTCTCATTCACTATATCTCTACTTGACAGGACAAGGTGCACTGTATGAGAATGTCCAGCATAATAAATGTATAATCCACTCAGCCATACAAAAATATGTACTTGCTCTGAAGTTCTGTTTGTTGATTACATGTTGTAGGTGCCCAGAGATGCCTCAGATCTCATTGCGTGGTCTTTTCCAAGCGGTGCGCTCCCAGCTTCACTTCTCGCAACTGTCGGCCTGGTGGAGCTGCAGCAAAGGTAGCAGCCCTGCACATGTAAACTACCGAGTCACAGTTCCTGGAGAGGCATTTGCTTCCCAGTTCCAGCGACAGCCTGTGGAGCACAGCTTCCCGGTTGCCAGTATCTCAAGGAGAACTGCTGTTAAGGTATCAGTGAGTGCTTCTACTTCGGTTTAACATTAAAGTTGTCAGTTATGATTGTGCTGCCCCACAAATATCTGTTTGTCTAGGAGAAGGCAGTGATTATGAAAAGATGTCTCAATAATCTGCTATTAAATTTTGTCCCTGTACTTAATTAAGTACTATGCCATGAAGACAAATGGGGCAGTGAAGGTGTAGCTCCACCATTCTTGACCTCAGCTTTGTATGGAGGTAAATGATCTGCTTCATGGCCTGGCCACTTTAACCCAGGGGATGGAGCCCCCAGTACCCATTGGATAGGAGGCTGGGTGAGCTCCAGAGCCGGTCTGGACTCTGCAGGATTCAAAACCCAGCTGTCCAAAAACTAAAAAATATTTTAGACAGTAACCAATTAGATAAATCAATAAGTAATTAAGATAGAAGTGTGTGTAAGTGATAAGTGTAATCTGTGGTATGTATTTGTTTCAAAATTTTTCCAGAAAGGGGAGATTCAAATGTCAGTCGTGTTTCAGAATTATTATGGCCAAGTTTGTTCCCAGTATTACGAGTACATGATGAATGTACTTGAAAAGATAGTTTTTATGACAGTAGAGAAGCAAAAAAGTACTGCTAAAGGAACCCTTGAAAGGCTAAGAGAATTTATTTCCAGGAGCTTCAGGTGTCAAAGAAGTAGGGCACTTTTTACTTCTAATGAAACATTAAAATAATGTGGCACACTTTAATATTTTAGAATGATAGTAACAAATTAAACTTACATTTAGAAATTAATTACAAACAATTTAGGTTCAAGGAATGCTTACTTCCATTCAGTTCAGTTTTTTGTCTGCCCATCTTTTATCTGAAAACCTAAAGATTAAAATGTACACTATCTAAATTTTACTAATGTCATTTATTTTTGGCATCACAATCATATGCTCCATTTTCCCCATGTGCATTATATATGTAATCTGTGCTCGAATTCGTACACAGCTACATGCTGTTCTGAATTATCTCAAATGCAACAGTGAGTGAAGCTTTTGAAATAAACATGTCCCATCTGTAGCTGCAGTTTCAATGCATTAACCCACTGTTGCACATTAAATTGTGATTTCACTTAATATACATTCTGTCAACAATGAAATATATTTTTGTGGGCAAACATGGGAGCCATAAGGTGAGTTGAAGCATAGGCATCTCTCACCTCTTTAACCTTATACATCACTTTTAATAACTGTATTTCTCATAAAATATGTGGAGATGCTGAGATTACAGCCTTCTGGGATAAGATGCCGTATAGTTTGGGAGATGGGTATGACTGTTTTGAAGGAATCTAGTGCCTCCATTTTATTGATAGAAGATACTCTTCTACTCCTGAAGATAGTCTAGTGACTCCATTTTATTGATAGAAGATACTCATCTGCTCCTGAATATAGTCTAGTGACTCCATTTTGTTGATAGAAGATACTCATCTGCTCCTGAAGATAGTCTAGTGACTCCATTTTGTTGATAGAAGATACACTTCTGCTCCTGAAGATAGTCTAGTGACTCCATTTTATTGATAGAAGATACTCTTCTACTCCTGAAGATAGTCTAGTGACTCCATTTTATTGATAGAAGATACTCTTCTACTCCTGAAGATAGTCTAGTGACTCCATTTTATTGATAGAAGATACTCATCTGCTCCTGAAGATAGTCTAGTGACAACATTTTATTGATAGAAGATACTCATCTACTCCTGAAGATAAGAAACATGAGGTTTCTCTGAAATGGTGGATTGTATGTACCAAACAACACAACATGTAACAGAGACCATAATTTTACCATTCACTTCTGTGAGAACAACAAATCTAGTGTAAATATGTTAAAATAACTAAAAAATTACTGAGAAATGTGAATTATTAGACCTTAGACCTATGTGAGTTTCAGACTTTTCAGGTCAGATCAGGAAAATTGTCATTGTCAATTGGAACACTGATTTTGCAGTCTCAGCTAAAAAGAATTGTTGTAAGGTTAACTGCTTTTGCTTTGCACAGTAACACATTGACAGTCCTAGCCATTAGAAATGTAATGTTGGCAACACTAGCAAGAATAGGCTTTTTAACAAAATCTGTCTCTCTCCTTCTGTTTCTACCCATCGTGAAAAAAAAAACATGGTCTTAGAACTGAGTTTCCTTAAACATAATTATTTATGAAAAAAAGAAAATTATTGAAAAAGGTTCTGTTGTTGTACTCTGATGTGTGAATGAAAGTTGCTAGTGTTATCAGTTACGATTACAGTGAAGAAATTAGTCTGCTAGAGAAAATTCCTGTCTCGATTCTCAGAAGTTTTCCAAATTCTTGTCTTGTACTGAGAAGCTGTTCTTGCACATTTCTGTGATGTTTCTTTTGAATGTGTGAAATTTTAGGTTCTCATGCCAGTGACTATGACAATTGCTGGCTAATGGGTTGTTACGCTGTGTACATCATTACTGACACTTCAGAGGAGCATGCTGCTTCTGTCTTCAGGGTAGAAAATAGGGGTGGTTTAATCTTCTGCAGCATCGGTAACAATCTCCCAGACTACTCGATATGACATCCCAGTAGATGGCAGTCTTCTTAGTTACATTAAATGGTGGAACACTGTTTTGAGCATGTGCTTGTTTGAAGGTGTGTGTGCGCACATTGCCACGCATGGCAGCTGTCCCACGCATCCAGTGTCCACTGCATCACTGTGAAATGGAACAAAAGAAGCCAGCAGCTGATGCAGACCTACTTGGGGCAGTTGGTGGGGCTGTGTGCTGCAAGGATGAGACATTCAGATGGGGGTAAGAAATTATATCAGAATAAAACATATTGATACGTTGGTTAAGCAGAACATTTATTTATTTTTGAAGTGAAACAAACACATCTATTTCACATCAGCTAGATGTTTAATGAAGTGAATCATATAGTCATCTTCTCCTTCTCCTAGTCACAAAGCTAGTTAGGGATGTATCTGTTTTGAAGATAATGTGTGATTTTGGCAGAGAGGTCACATCAAAGCAGCCAGCGGCTGATCCCCTCTTGGGAGAGAGCCTCCTGGATCCACCGCAGAGCCTGGACCTGTTCACTCGTCGATACCAGAGTCCTTCAAGGTGTGGCAGTCCAAGCTTGGAGGCACCTGAATACCTCATGTTTGGACGTGGAGTGACACCTGTCCGACCTGAAGGTACCAGCCGTCCTGTGATTGGGCGCTGGCGTGACAACAGCCCTCCCAGTCCACCACTCAGCTCACAGCACCACAGGAGACTTGGCCGCCAGGGGCTGGTACGTCGGAGAGATGCCAGCAATATGTCTGCCTCAGCTGCTGGTGGAACTGGTACTTTGGCATGGCAGAAGTCACCCACGTTGCCAGGTATGTGCTGTATGCAGTTTTGGTTTGTGTGATTTATTTATTTTATTTGCACTTTATTTCACATGGATGAGATGGCCAGGGTATATAGCATGAATGGGGGTGAAGAGGAATAAGGATATTGGTGGAAAAGCCAGAAGGAAAGAGACCACTATGAAGACCAAGACATAGGTGGGTAAAAAGTAATAAAATGGATCTTAGAGAGATGGGGTGGTATGGATCGGATTGATCTGGCTAAGGACGGGGACCAGTGGAGGCCTCTTTTGAACATGGTAATGAACCTTCAGGTTCCATAAAATTGTCATGAAATTCACAGCTGACAGCTTCTCAAGAAGGGCTCAGCTCTATGTAGTTAGTTAGTTAGTTAGTTAGTTAGTTAGTTAGTTAGTAAAAAAAAGTAAAGCTATCCCTGTACCAGGCCATGAAGGCCTGGGTTCTGAGACGTTGAGGGCCCCACATTATCTAGACAATTGGCTCAAAGATGGCGGTAAGGTTGTCAGCTGGCCGCGCTTTACTCCCCAGGAGAATTATTTAATTCATTCCTGGTACTCATTTCTGTTAGAGGCTGAGTAGACCCCAGGGCCTAGTGCAGCTGGAAGGATTGGATCAACTGAAAATAATCCAATGACCTCATCGGGACTTGAACGCACAACGGCTTGTAGCATAGCCCCTCAACCACTACGCTACCACATGCCCCCAGTTAGCTAGTAGTTTATTTAATGATACTGTCAGTAACTAAGACTGTGTAATGTCAGATTGTTGAGTGATAGTGAACAATGAATTGGAAGGAACTGGAAGGAAGGACTCATGGTCTGATTTGACCTACTGTGCTAGCATTTTCTTGGAGAAACTGAGTAAAGCCACAGTATACTTCAGTCAGGACACTTGGTATCCCATCTGAAATTTGAATGAGGCACCTCCTGAACCCAAATCAGAAATTTTACCACTTCTGTTAATTTGTTCAGTTAGTTTGAAAAAATTAGACCTTTGAAGAGTACCGTCTACTGGCATGTGATACCACCTCCAATACTAAGGAAGCAATGAGCAAGAAGCAAGCAGCTAGCTGTCTACTCACTTCCCATCAGTGCTGAAGTTAAGAATGCATGGAGCTGTACCTCCAGTTTTTCTCATACTCTTATGAAAATACCTTCACTATACAGTGTTAGATAGGATGCTGGTCTTCAGTGAACCTACTGATTGGTTTATCATTCAGAATTATGGGTACAGAGGATTTGGATAGAGCATGGCTAAGAATTGTAGGCACACAGTTGTATCAAGAAGATTAAAGGTCTATTTACACATATCCGTGACATGTCATTACCGCGTCCGGTCAGTTCCGTGAAATTTCATCAGTGTCAGTGATAATTCATATCGTTTCTTTGAACTTGACGGACACATCCACATATCTCCGGCGCAGTGCCATATTGTAGGACTGGACATGGTACTGACACGTCATGGATATGTGTAAATAGACCTTAACTCTCATGAAACACCCAGCATATGTGGGTCTCCAGTATAGTGTATACTAATACTGGATCCCCATCTTGAATTTGGGCTGGGACATTGACTGCCTTGACTGAGACTTGTGGTTTTCCTCAGTCCCTCTGCACAGATACATGGATAGTTTGATAAATTATGTCATAATTTCTTCCTTCCACATCCTTTCTAATTCATTATTTACTCTTGTGCAGTTTTTGAGTTCCTGGCAGTGTCCTTTAATTACTATGGATAAATATTAAATAAATAAAGCGTGTTGTGTGTCAATTGGCATAGGTTTGGTGGATGATCGGATGCAGAACCCGTGCACCCGGCCTGGGAAGCACCACTGTCGCTGTGCATTTGATGAAGACATGGACATCCTGCCACCCACGGGCAATGGACCAGACAGCAGCATACATGAACCGGCATTGCCTTGTAAACCTTCTTCCATGCCAAGTACAAGCTCCACCACACTGCCAGCCCCGAAGAGGGATGAACCACTACTGGACTCTGCACAAGTAGAAGGAACACTGCCACCCGAGGACAGCAAGATGGGCCGGCTGAACCTGGAACTCAGTCGACGGGAGTTTGAGGAAGTGTTGTCTGTTTTACGGTGAGTATTTTCTATAGCCTTTTCAGCTGGGTTTGAGGTTCTCATAATAATGGCTATGAAGGTCATGTCTGGCAGATAATACTCAGCATTTGAGAGGAACATCCTACATCCATCTCCAGCCTACCCTGAAGAAGGAGGCAGCAGATTCTTCTGAGACATTGTGGCCTTTCTACCACTCTACACAGAATCATGGCACATTCACTGGTCTGAGAAACTCAGAACTCTGTCGTCAGGTTTCCTGACTGAGTGATTCTCAAAGGCAGTTAATCTGCACGTACATAATCAGGAGTATACTGTAAAGCAAACTGAAGTATAATAACTTTTTCCTTCATATCTACATATGTGCAGCAAATTGCAGGTTAGTTTTCCAGGGGCTTAATTCATTAATTACGAAGATAGAATTTCTCTCCATGTTAAGTGTGTTCAGAGTTACTTAAAATATGAGATTATTTCAGTAGCCTTAAAATGGTTAATTTAGACTGACAGTAGCTTCATGCAATGAGTAATAACATCATTGTAATTTCCTGCAGTGATCGGAATGACCCTCCGAACCACACTGTTGGTAAGAAGCTTGCGCCAAGGAGCCGCAAGGGCATATCCCTCCGTCAGGACCTTGTGTATACTGTGCCATCATGTCTTCCATCTACCTCAAAAGCAGCAGCATCGGACAAAGCAGATCTGCTCATGGGTGCCATCCTCCGCAGTCACAAAACCGACGATGCCTCATCGTCATTGTTAGTGAAGTGTGACCAGAGAAGCAAACCTTGCAGACCCTGTGATGAATGTGAACTGATTGATGAACGGACCATTCCATCCTCTCTTATTCGGACTACTCGGACAGAGAGTTCAAAGTGTGCCACAATAAAGATACACAACCCGCAATGTCTTTCAAATGCAACAACTGGGAAGTGCAGTGATCATGTGCCTTTAAAGTTGACTAGTGTTGGGGATCGGACGAAAGGAGGGGCATCAGGTTGTGATGGCAAGATACAGTCAGACGCAGATGACGGGAGGAACATGGACATGCCGTTCTTAAACAGGAGTTTGGGACGCATTAAGGAGTTCTTCAAAGCAGAGGTGAAACCAGCACAGGAGAATGTGGAGGTTAGTAGATGTGAGGGTTCTGCTAATGTAAGCCTTCTTAACCTGTTCGCGTCTGTGGACATGATCTGAAACTGTCCTGTTTCACCAAAATAGCATATATGTAGAAGATAGTATTGACTTATTTTCATGTTTCATAAAGTCTTCACTCTGCCTTGGCTTTTTATAACATCTGATGGAGAAATTTTTAACCAGTATCAATGTGTACTGTCCTTCATTTGGATAAATATCTTGCTGACACAGACATTGCCTAGAAAAATGTTTCATGATGTGAACAGATTAAGCAGGTAGTAGTTGCTTCACTTTCATTGAACTGGATTAAGCTCTTGAAGCCTGGAATTCTTTTAAATAATACTGTTTGTTGTGAGGATAATATGAATGGTCAAAATGTAGATTTCTTGAATGTCTTCAAAGCATGTGGTGCATACAGCAGTCACTATGCTTCAAAGAGTTAGCCCTCCAGATGAACAGACTCAAAATCTAATAGCCACTTAATAAAATCTGTAGTTTCACTTTATGATTCATACAGATGTTTTTATAAAGCTATAAAGTTTTGTGAACAATGCATCCATTTCAGCAATAAAGTGAACCTGATTTGTAATATATTTGTACAGGCTAAAAATGTACACATTTGCAACAGGTCTCTGCTAACTCAGGTAAAAGAATATCTGAGAAGCTGTGGTAAAAGGATTATATATCTGTTTGTTATTATCATAATGCCCCATTTATGTGTGTCCAGACTTCAGCTAAGTATCCACTGCAGATGAAGTGGCAGGGACTGTTGAATTTTTCATGTGATTTATGTTTAATTAATGCGCTGGAATTTCATGGGTTGCCTATTTGAAATGTTAAATAGATGTGCAATGACTGTATCTTACAATTTTATCTATATAACCTATGCACTTCTTGTCCTTAGCTTTTGTAACTTCCATCTTATGTGTAATTTCAGCTTAGGGGGTTTTGCCATATTGGAAGATGTGACCTGAGTTTGGGGGGTGGGGGTTCAGAGCACTTATGAAAATTGAAAGGAGAAAGATATACATTTTAACTTATCAGACCAATCCACCGTTATCTTCCCCATATTACTTAAAAGACAGTAACTTAAAAATATGGAAAGTAATTGAGATTAAAGAAACACTTCAGTAATTCATTTGGCTAACCCCCATCCACAGTCATGTTATGTTAAAGGTGAATACATTAAGATTGATAATACCGTAACGTGCTATATGACGTCTGTCGCTGCGCAACGGCTGCAGTGGGAATGTATTCTTCAGCGACGATGAATACATGGAAATGGTTGAGTTCCCATAGTGACGAATTGAATACCAACAGACCGTTGCGTAGGGATATCCGTAACAATGAAATTAACTCTTCGATAAGGTATTCCCTATCCCATCCGAACGCTGGATATATAAGAGAGTGTAGCTCTGGCGAGGGGGTTGAATAGCTCCACCGTGACCCCGCGAGTTGTAGGAGGCGATGAAAAGGGAAGTCTCAATTCTGAGACAGTAAAATATGGTTGCGAGTCCCAAGAGACTCAGACCCGAGAAAGACTGCCACAAAAACAAGACCGTAAATGCCAAACAGTAATAAATATCTGGGGCTCAACACCAAGACTCACTGACTGACTGACTGACTGACTGACCGACCAACCGACCATAAGTCACAATGTGACTTGGACTTGGACTTGGTGAGAGTTCAGATGACAAGTATCACAAGAGATTCTGAGTGAAATCACAGCGGAGATTCTGACTTTTGGATTCGACTCTTGTGAGATACAAGCAGATTGTGCTCAGACTTCACAGAAGAGTGTGCTGATGGTGTAATAGCGCTGTAAGTGAATAATTGTATAAGTGTGTGTACAAATAAACGTCCAATAAAACAATTCGTTCTGATCCAAAGATCCATACAATTTATTTGTGTCGCGTCACACAGTCGACATGATACACTGATGCCAGAAGTGAGATAGATCGGATTCTTAAAGAAGTATTGGACCACATTGAATATAATACCCCTCATTATGGCTAGGGGGCACGCAGTAGTGTAGTTGGTTGAGGAGCTATGCTACAAGCCGGAAGGTTGCGGGTTCAAGTCCCGATGATGTCAGTGGATTTTTTCAATTGACCTAATCCTTCCAGCCGCACTATGGCCCTGGGGTTCACTCAGCCTCTAACAGAAATGAGTACCAGGAATTAATTAAATAATTTTTCTGGGGAGTAAAGCGCGGCCGGTGTGTAAGGCTGACAACCTTACCGCCATCTTTGAGCCGATTGTCTAGATCATCCATGTCAAACATGCGGGCCCCATAGCCACAAAGTGAGGCCCCTCAACTTTTAGAGCTAATTGATATTAAAATCAATATTAAAATTTTAGTAGAAATATTTTTTGTAAAGACAATTTTCCAGCAGACCAGAAAACAAGAAGTCTCATGCAGACATAAATTAGCAGGCTGCAGGAAAAGTGATTCTGAGAATTGCAGAAGGGTTTGTCCAACTAATGGTTTGTAAAGTTCGTGAAGGACAAACTATTGTATTTCAGAAGGTTAATGCACTAAAATCCACCCAGCCTCACCAACCCAAGTATTTCCAAGAATCCCTTTTGGAGGCATAGTAAGAATGCAAGGAGGGTGGCAACTGACAGACAAGTGCAAGGGATTTCTACCTTCAAAACTAGCTTGCAACCCCCAGTCATTGTCTAAATGGGCTACTAGCAAACTTTCACTTTATGACCATTGAGACAAGATACACCTTCCTACTAGTCTGGTAGTCTCTTGTACATTGTCATTTAGTTCATTTTCACACAGCGACAGGTGCTGATGTTACATTGCGATGAATGTATAAAGGTTATAATTAAATATTTAAATTATCAACTACGAGTTTTCTTGTATATGTACAGTAACTTTTAAAGGGCAATGTCCCTTTCAAAAAAATCAAGTAGCAAAAAAATAACTATTGAAAGTGAGCGCGTGTCTTTCAAGAAAAATTGGAAATCGCTTATTTCTGTTGTGAAATAGAAGGTAAAATTACATATTTGATTTGTGGGCAAAATATAAGTGTTCCACTTTAGGTAATTATATTGAAATTATTCCTAAATAATAAGTAGAATTAAATTTCCTTGTATCAAAATCTAATGTATATTTCTATTTTGAAGTGTGGCCCTCGACTATTATTTACAGGGCTGAGGTGGCCCTCTGTACAAGTTAAGTTTGACATGCCTGGTGTAGATAATGTGGGACCCTCAACGTTTCAAAACCCTATGCTCCTTCATGGCCAGGTACAGGGATAGCTTTACTTTTTTACTTTTTTTTTTACATTATGGATATGGAAAACATGGAACTCCTGAGAGCCATGAAAGAAATGCTGGACGCCAACCAGGCAAAGGCAGATGCAAATATAAAGGCCATGTGAGAGGAAATGAGAACGGACAGGAAGGCCATCCGAGAGGAAGTGAGAGTCTGCCAAGATCGAGTGATAGCCAGGATGGACGCCAACCAGGCAAAGATGATGGCCTGGCTGGAAGAGGAAAAGCCGACCTCGGTGGACACGAAACCTGAGGCGGCACAACGACAGGTCCCGAAGGAAGACGCCGCAATGATGCCGGCCAGAGGACCGAAGAAGAGGCGTAGGGACCCAAAGTTAGCTACAAAGCGGCGAGGAAGGCCGAAGGAACGGACCCAGGGCAAGGATGGGTGCTGTAGAAAAGTAGCCGTCGCCCGCAGAGGGACGACCCGCCGTGCCAGAGTGGCATGGCGCAAGAGGAACTTAGCCAGAAAAGTTTGTACCAGGCCCAGGGTGGTACAAGAAATCTGGAGAGGACAGACGTTCGGGAGGAGACGTCAGCCGAAACTAGAATGCAGCAAGGGAATAAAGAGCCGCTACATCCGAGGAAAGGGAGGAAACCCGCGAATAATATTGGAGAATGGAGCGGAAGACAGCAGCCACGACTGGAAAAGAAAGAATCTAACAGGACATACAGGAAGACGACTGGACTGTAAATCGAGAAGCGAATAGCCGGATCTTCCGTCGGCCTACGATAAAACAAGGATTGGACCTTGTGAAGGGGTCGATCCCCTCCGAAACGAAAAAATAAATAAATAGCATATAGAGGAGGAATCGGTAACATAGAAACAGCGGCCTCCCCAGCTAAAATGAGTGAGCATGAAAGTGAGGGATGAATGCGATACGACGGGATCAACTAGCGCTCGGAAGGAAATGAAGGAAGGGAAGTACCGTTAGGTTGTTCGGGTCGAACAACCTCAAGAAGGGAGCAATGCAACGTGCTATATGACGTCCATCGCTGCGCAACGGCTGCAGTGGGAATGCATACTTCAGCGACAACGAATACATGGAAATGGTTGAGTTCCCACAGCGACGAATTGAATACTAACAGACCGTTGAGTAGGGATATCAGTAACAGCAGATGAAACCAAACACTTCTACAGCGTGTTCTGAATAGAGTAAGGCTAGCATTTCCTAAGCAACGGATGAAATTAATCCTTCGATAAGGTGTTCCCTATCCCGTCCGAACGCTGGATATATAAGAGAGTGTAGCTCCAGCGAGGGTTAAGATGACAAGTATCACAAGAGATTCCCGAGTGAAATCACTGAAGAGATTCTGAGTTTTGGACTCGACTCTAGCGAGACAGAAGAGTTCCAGAGTGTGCTAACGGTGTAATAGCGCTGTACGTGAATAATTGTACGAGTCTGTATACCAGTGCTGTCCAACGTTCTTATGTACTCTGGCACAATTCACTGATGCCTATGGAGGTGCGGGCGCCACCACACACACTACTACTACTACTACTACTACTACTACTACTACTACTACTACTAATAATAATAATAATAATAATACAATTTTTCGAAAGTATTTAACAGTACTCAACGTTCAAAAATGTCTCTTGTCTTACAATTTGAATTAATATTAAAAATCGGCTCAATTATATGTGGTCACGGAGGGCGCCAGAAAAATATACCACGGGCGCCGCGTTGGACAGGGCTGCTGTATACAAATAAGCGTCCAATAAAATAATTCGTTCCTATCCGAAGACCAACGCAGTACTATTGTTCAGTTCCATTGTTCGAACAAGCTGCACCATATAAAGTAATATAGAAACTGCCATTATATGCAGATTTGAAGTGATTTAATTTCAAAGTTCTCAAATAATATAGACCTTCAGTTAATAATGACCGCCTCTGTGGTCAGAGTTTCTGGCTACAGATCCAGAGGTCCTGGCTTCGATTCCCAGCTGGGTCCACTCAGCCACGAGACAATAATTGAGGAGCTATTTCAAGGAAAGATCGGCTCCGGTCTAGAAAACCGCGATTAACGGCCATGGGGATCCGTTGCACTGACCACATGATAGATAACCTTTATCCACAAAAGTTGGCAATAGCTTCGCCGACAATCGGCGGTTGCTCGGTCGGTATCGTTCGCTTGCGGACTAAAGCCACGGAGTTTTTTTTTTTTGTTTTTCAGTTAATAATGCTTACATTAATATGCTTTGTTTGCTACCCAATCAGGAAAGGCAGAGAGAGGTGAGAGTACATGGCAGAGGGGAAAAGGGAAAAGTAAGTTTGATTTATGCGATTTTGACTTCTTCTGAAACATAAGTGTCAGACATAAATCAAGGAATACCTATAATTATTTTGTATGTTACATTCTGAGACAGGTACATATTGAACAGAGTGCTTTTCTTATGGCAGAGTTCGAGTGTGCCAGAGCGTCCTGTTCCTTCAGCGCTGGACAAAGCCAAGTTCCGACGTTCATTGGACTCTGCTGCGTGTATGGTATTTCACTGTCGAACTGGATTGCCATTGACTTCAAGTCCTGCGCCTGTTCGCAGGGGTACCTGCTTCGACTTTGACAGCACGCTCAATTCGGTCTCTGCTATTCGCAGGTAGTACCACATTGAAAGGGTTGTTATACATAGTTCTGAAGTAAATATGGGTAAGGACACTGATTGTTCCAATATCTCTGTCAGAAATATTATAATGCATCTGTCAGTGCAGTGGTACCAACTGCTACTCATTCAGTATTGTTCAGGACTGTCACTACAGCACAGCCCCTGCTCTTTGGTGCAGCACAATTTACAGATTTTTCATGTTTAATGAAAGTTAGTTTGTGCTTATCATTTGTACATGTTGTGAACATTAATTGGCAGTAATGTAAATATTGTCACGTGTTGGGTATGTCACGCGACAAATAACTTCACGTGTGTGTCGGATTTAGCGAATATGTATTGTGCTTCGCTTATACACTCACACGTTTTACAATTATTGTCACTTGCAGTATCACAATTACTGCTTCCACTATATCTTGGCCAATCGTAGAATGCTTTCGGCGGCGGCCTTCTGAAGACTGACTTGTTACCGTGGAAGTGCATTATTCTGGTTCAACAATCCGTTGCTTAGGAAATGCAGTATTTCTCGTTGTTACTCAACGACAATTCGTAACTACGATTTGTCGCTGTGGGAACTCCACAGTTTCCGCCTATTCGTTGCCGTGGAAGTGCGCCTTCCGATTGTAGCGATTGTCGCGGTGATGGTCATAAGATAACGCGTCACATTTCTCCCTTCTAAAGGTTGTTCGTTCCCGAACAGCTTAACGGTACTTCCGTGGTTTCGTTTCCTAAAGTGTTCATCTTCCGCGTGTTACCTCCGCCTTTCCTTCGGTGTTTTGCCTTCCTTCCATCCGCCCCCTTTCTTCCAGAATGCTCGCCCCAAGCACTTCCATGGTTCAGGATTTTTTGGTCCCATTGTCTCGCATTCATTCTACACTTTCATTCTTTCCTCATTCGTTCATGCTAGGGAGGCCGGTGCTTCTACTACCGGTTCCTCCCGTGCGGGCCGTTCCCCTTTTTTCGTTTTGGAGGGGGTCGACCCCTCCACAGTGTACAGTTTTTGAAGTTTTGTGATGGGACAGGAGATTCGGTAATTCGCTTCGCGGTCTCATGTTCGGTCATTTTTCTGTAGGGCTCGATTCTTGTTCCTCTTCTTACATTGCGGTTGCGCTCGTTGTCTCTTCCGAGCGTCCATCCTTTCGAGGTTCCTAACATCACTTTGTCCGTGGTGCGGTTCTTTCCGATGGAGTTTTCCTTGCGCCGTGCCACTTTCGCACGGCTGGTCGTGTTCGGCCCGAGGGTGACTCTCATGCGTCGTGCAACTGTTGCACGGTGGCTCGTCCCTCTGTGGGTGATGGCGAATTTCTTCTGGGGTTTGCAATTTTCCAGTGTCAAATTCTTCGCTTTCTGGCGGCGGCGCTCCGCGGCCATTTTTCGGTCCCTACGCCTTTTCTTCTTCGGTTCTCCGGCCGGCATTATTTCGGCGTCTTCTACGGGTGCCTCTTCTTTCTGTGCCACCACAGGTTTCCTGTCCAGTGAGGTCGGCTCCTTTTCTTCCTGACGCGCCTCCATCTCTTGGCAAGCCATCGTCTCATTATGGTTGTCGTTCCCCCATTTGTCTCTCATGGCGGCCATCTCTTTTCGCCATGCTTTTATATTGGCCTCCCTTTCTTCCTTCTCGGCTTTTCTGTCTCCGCCTTTTCTTGCATGGCCTTCATCTCTTTCAGCAGCAGTTGCAGCATCTGCTGTGAGTCCATTCTAGCTCGTGTAGCGTTATAACACTTGAGGTGGCGTTAGTCTAATAACTCCTCCAAATTCGCCTCAGAATCCAAACTGATCCCGCTTCTGACAGCAGTTGTCATATGTTGGGTATGTCACGTGACAAATAAGTTAACGCGGGTCTCGGATTTAGCGAATATTTATTGTGCTTCACTTCTACACTCACACACTTTACAATTATTATCACTTGCAGTATCACAATTACTGCTTCCACTATATCTCGGCCAATACTATTCTGGTAGTTACTATAGGATTCTGACGATGGTGTATAACACACTGATATATTGGGTCCTAGTTTGTTATCTTAAAAACTAGGATGATGGATAAAGTCCAGAAACCCAATATATCAATACTATTCTGGTTCAACAATCTGTTACTTAGGAAGTGCAGTATTTCCCGCTGTTACTCAATGACAATTCGTTACGATTTGTCGCTGTGGGAACTCCACAGTTTCCACCTATTCATTGCCGTGGAAGTGTGCATTCCGATTGTAGCGGTTGTCGCAGTGATGGTCGTAAGATAACGCGCCACAATACATTATACAACAATGTAAATAAAACTGTTTTAGGAATTATGGCATCAGTGACAAGTTTTTGTCACATCTGGAAATGTAGTTGTATTACAGTTTTATGAAGTTGGTCTGTTTTTAACTGAGAGTGGTGACACAATTTCTCACAGCCCAGGGCAGCATTTAGGCTTGTGCTGGCCCTGGTTTCTTTGGAAGAGAGAAAATTAAATAGCTCATATTTTAACATGAATAAAAAATATATATAATCTTCATATTTCCAGAAATCAAAAAGAATATTTTAGGTTTCAATGACAGTTGTCATGTTACAGCGCTCTCTTTGAGAGTGTCCCGGCAGCACCTGCAGATGATGCATTGAGTGTGAGTAGTGATGATGCAGAGAGTGAAACTGGGGCCCGCTCCCCCTGTTCACCTGGCATCGGTGGACCCACACTTTCTCCACTAGGGCCCTCCTTGTGGTCCCACTACACACTTGCGCCCTGTGCATCCCTCCTAGGTAAGATGCAGTTTGTATTCAGCACTGCTGACTGATGCATACACAAACTGTGCCAAACTAACACTGTGACTGGGAAATTGGTTTAGAATATTTGGGTGGACTAGTTTAGTATGAAAGTGTGTTTCTGTGTTTGAAGTTTTTACTTCAAGCCCATGAAATAGGTTGAAAACAAGGATTAATGTAATTTCCTATGGTTGATCATGTAAAATAATGAATGAATTGTAATGAAGTTTAGTATGGGGAGTCTACAATAAAAAGTATTGAGTAAATTTCATTTTGAGCTCTGTTATTCTCAAAAATAGCTCCTTGGAAAAGAAAGTCTATATAAAATATACATTTGATTGAGTTGTATGTGTGTCTTTTTTAAGATTGTTATCTTCTGGAGATATGACACTGTATTTTGGTAGATTGGTACCAATATTTTGAAGGACTTTGTCTTTACCCTAATGATTAATTAATAGAGGCAGTAGGTTGCTCCAGAACATTGGCACCAGTAACAAACTACAGTGTGTCACATACCAGAGGACAGTAAGCTTCACAGGCACTGCCATGAAATTCTCAAATCCCAAGTGTATAAATATTTTTGGTTCAAATATCTTAATAATCTATGTATTTAGTGAGAATAATGAATGCTTTTCTTTGATCTAATATCCATACTGTTGCTTAGCTCTGTTCTCATTATATGAGTATGTACTGCCTGTAATGAACATGCAAGTTCCATAAGGGATGAGAGATCGCAGTATGTTTGGAAAATATGTGTACTCCGAACTGAAATTCACTTTGCGACCTTGGTACTCTTGATGCTCCAGTAATGGTCAGTCCTAAATGTCATAGGCCTCTTCAATGTTTAAACAGCGGACAGAGTGAGAGGAAGAAACATTTACCTGAAGCAGATGGCTCTTTTTATTCATTACAGGCAGCTTTGAAGAGTCTGTTCTGAATGGACGGCTAGAACCTGTGAGCACAGTGCAAGGGTTCACCGCAGATCTGGGTGCAAGTGGATGTTTCTGTCCTCGTCATCTGGTACTGCCTGTCACTGTCTTCTTCTATACACTGGGTGACAATGATAAAGTCTCTACACCGTATCTTGTAAGTATGCGATAGGATATGTTCTGAAATGGGTTTGCAGTAAGGCCTCAAACATGACAACCAAATTATTTCACTGCAAATGTTACAGGGGCATATCAACCTTGGGAAGAAGGGTTACAATGTTCCGCGTAGTGGCACCATACAAGTGACCCTCTTCAACCCACTCGGGACAGTGGTCAAGATGTTTGTTGTCATGTATGACTTGGCTGACATGCCTGTGAATTCTCAGACTTTTCTCCGCCAACGTACCCTCTACATGCCTGCCAATCCCAATGGAGAACAACCAGACAATGCTCAGAAGTGGCTGCGATACCTAATACACCTCAGGTAATTTGAAGTAATCTTGTATTTGTAGTCTGATATCATCAGTAGAGAAGATCACATCTTAGAAGACTCTTGGAGACAGAAGGTGTCAGTTCCTGTCCATGTCATCACCACATTTACCTGAACCCAGCAGATGGTGACAGCATGTTCCTCTGAATGTCAGTATCAATCCAGAGTATTGCATGGTGTCAAAATCTTTGTCCAGTTCACTTTTCCTAGCAGTGATGTAAAGGAAGCTTCCAAAACGTGGGCTTATCGGTCAAACATGATGCATCTCTGCATGAGAGAACTCTGATGTGATTAGCTTGTTGGTTTTTTCCCTACAGATTCTCCAGCTCAAGGTCAGGCCGCATCTACCTCCACTCTGACATCCGCATGATAATTTTCCGCAAGTCAGACATGGATACCGCAACAGCACATGGAATGGACATGGCATATGAACTGCGCTCATTCACGCACGGACCCACAAACCCCAAATTCTCTCCATACAAGTGACCATTTGACCACATGACTATTCTGTTTACTGGGATGCCAGTAACTGAGCTAGTAATATTGCTAGTGACCATCTCACTATGTTGTTTTTTCATTTATTGGACCAGCAAATCTTATAAGTTCCCTTTCAGAAGTGACCACCGGCTACATTGCCTGTCTATTCACTGGAGTACCAGTGAGTGGACTAGTTATTCCAGAACTCCTCCCTTTTAAGTGATTGGCTATGTTGCCTGGAATGCCAGTAATGGGACCAGTAAGTTATACCATCATATGTTAACTGTTTGGACTCGTAATGCAGGAAGTTACTTTTCTGTTCACTTTAATTTAAGTTTGTACTTTGGGTTTACAAGGGGCATTATGCTGCAAGTTGGAAGATCGCAAGTTTGATTCCTGATGAGGTCATTGGAATTTTCGATTTACCTAATCCTTCCAGCCGCACTATGGCCCTGGGGTCGACTAAGCCTCTAACAGAAATGAGTACCAGGAATCTTCCTGGAGGTAAAGGGCAGCCGGCGCGTAAGGCTAACAGGTCTCACCGCCGTCTGTGAGTCGAGTGCTTAGAAGATGTGGGAGCCTCAACATCTCACAGTGCTATGGGTCTCCATGGCCTATTCCAGGAATACCTTTACCTTTTTTTTTTCTCTGTCTCTGGTTTTACAACTTAGGCAGGTGAAGAGGCATTTATGTCTCTGATGTGGGATTGTCTGTAGCTCAATTCTGTCCAGTGCACATAACAAAATTATGTGACAATTAAGCTTTGTTAAAATGTCTGTTGAATTATGCAGTGCTCAAAGCATAATATCCTAATGGGGGCATCTGAATTGTGTATACAGCTGTAAGGTGGACACATCAGAATAGTAACCTATCTTGTTTCTTTATTTCATGTCCAATCTTCCTAGCTGATCCAGCCATATCAGGGATAATTTATGTTACTGGTTGGTTTACAATTGCATGTGTAGCTTTGCTGTTGTCTTAGTAACAGAACAGTTGGTAATAAAAATGATTTAAGCAAAATTACATTACATTTCTTCCTGATAATTCTGGGGTTCTGGGTGACTAGGGCCCTTCTTTCACTTGGACCTACATTACATAATAAAATAATGTATTTCCCAGTATATAAGACACAGGTTTTCTCCTCAGAAATCACAATGCAACTCCTACATCAGAAAATAAGAAGAACGAGGTGAATATGTAGTTGCCTGTATATAATTGTATTTTGTTCATTATGTAAGGCAGAGTTATTTACTTTCATTTACAAATAATTTTATTATAATTAATAAATAATTTCAATTTGTGAAACAAAGAAATTAACTTTTTTTTAAATTTCCCCTTCTTAAACCATTATGTGTCTCAAAGAGTAGAAGAATACAATATCTGCTAAATATTTTCTCAGGTATTGAATAAATATACTTTTCTTACAAAAGAATCTATAACATATTTCTCTGGTCCATAGGCAGATATTTCCACAAAACATATGAAATACCCTTAAAAATGTTTACAGAGGATCTATAATTAGATCTAGTATGTTCCGAGCGTTCTGTTGAATGCCTGTATGAAGCACCAAAAATTGCCTACCTTGAACAGTGGATTCAGTATGGTTCCGATCAATCAGTTCACTACAGAGGGGTCTTCTAGTTGGGACCCAACTGTAAATCAGCTTAAATATCTCTTTATGCTTGCATGCAGTTGTAAACTGACCCATATGAACTGTCTTGTAGTGGTAGCACTGATGTCAACCTCAGAGGCACCCAAGAAAGAAACGTGTACAAAACAATGGAATGTATGTGTGTTGTTGGTACTTATCGATGTGTTTCTGAATCCCCACAGCTATTGAGACCAGTGTCGTTGGTTAATATGTGTTTGAACTATTTGGGACTGTTCCTGAAGTTAAGGTCACAACTTAGTGAATGCTCAGAAATTGGTTCATGCAACACTATTGCATAATGAACTATCACATCCGTTATCATAGTCACCATATTGATGGCTTGCAGAAGTTTGTATAGGCTTGACTTCCTTCTTAAGTGTTAGTAACTTGCAAGTTGGCCATGTGTGGACTATAGATGTGGTGTAGCTTGATTGTCTTTAGGGGTGGCGCTGCAGGTTGTGTCCTTGTTCAGGGATTGAAAATTATTTTCCATTTTGTAGTAACATGATACAACTTGAAAACAGAACCAGAATTGAGATGGAAAGAAATTCATCTCTTTAAGGATAATTTTCATAGTTACTAATTTCTGTGACAATGAATAGTTTGACAGAGAAACAATGAAATCATACTAGAGATAAGTGACAGAGTTCTGTTTTTCTTTATAATAATCTGAACCTGCACCTGATGTGGAACAGAAGCAGTGTTGTATGTTGAAAATTGTTTGTATTAAATGTAACAAATGCCACCTAGTGCACTGAGATGGTATTTGCTATCTTTAATTTAATGTAAACAGAGCATTGGCAATAATGACCTTATTTGTATTAGCTATGAAACAAATGTTAGCTAGAGACACATTAATCCCTCTATACAGTGCACACATTTTCTCACAGGGACACAGGGAATCACCTCGAGGGTCAAGTATGATTTATTGTATTCTATGTCTGAATAGAGACAGCATTTTCACACACAAGAAAAATATTGTGAGATTTGAAGTGACTATGGAGACTGTGTCCTGTACTTATGACATAAAATTTGTAAGAATAAAAAATACTTCTCCAGTGAGGGAAGTCCTGAAACATGATTGGCTGATAGGCAGCGACACCTCTCTAGTTGCCCCGCTGCGTTTGTATACACCCCGTAGCTCGTTTGTGTCAATTACTTGTCCCACCAAACAAGACACCATCACGTCATTTTCCAAGTTCTCATGTAACCTCAACAAGAAATTTCCCCCTAATTTTATTAATATATATATATGCATTATATATAAATTAATATATTACAAAGATACAGACATATATATTATAAATGTTTGAAGATAACCTCTCAGATTTATTTATTGCATTATAGTACCATGTAGTATAGGCCATTTTGATTATTTTTTCTTTCCTTATATGATAGAAAATAAAATATTATTGAGTTACAGCATTGGTGTATTTGTTTCAACAGGTGGCTATTCCCACAGAGTTGCCCCGACTGGCAGAGATCACTGCACAGGCAGATGATGCCCTAATGAAATGCCCCAGAAAATTTCAGTTTTTAATCCTCACTGTCCACACACAACACACAAACATTTGGATTCTGATGACACAGCAAGTGCTCCACAACCTTCCAATTATCTGCATATGAGGTTTGTGTAGCAGTTAACATTAGAGAAAAATAAAGTGGCTATAGTCTTAGTGTGGAACTCAACCACCTACTACATATCTGTCGATTAAAATTTGGGTGGGTCCAAAAAGACCCTGCTAAAATTACAACTTCTGCACAAGTCAAAGTTTAGAATTTTGAAAGAGACTGATTTACTGTCATGCAACAAAGGGACCAAAAGGTTCCCCTAATTTGGACCACCACAGACACAGTTTCTAAATAAGTGTTATTTTAAAATTCCATTTTTATTTCACTATATCCAGTTATTCCAGCCATTGTTTCCAATTTCTCAAGTTAATAAAATACTGCAAAATACTTCATTATACAAGTAATCAGTAATCCTCAATGATTCTAGGGTTGCTACAGTTTTTCGCTGGATTGTAAACTGATATCTTGTAAAATTTGAGGTTTTCACGGCAGTGACTATGAAGAAAGCAGTCTTCTGGGATGTGGCACCGTGTAGATGTGGTGTTAACTGACGTTTCAGAGGAACGTATCACCTCCATCTTCAGGGTAGAAGGATCGCTTGCAGATTTCTTATTTTTCCTTCTACCCTGAAGATGGAGGCGATATGTTCCTCTGAAATGTCGGTTCACACCACATCTACACGGTGCCACATCCCGGAAGACTGCTTTCTTGATATCATCTTGCTTGGAACAAGAGTTACGTAACACTAAGCGGATGGCTTCTACAACACCAAGGAAAATTGTCTGGTTTGGATTCAAGTAGCTCAGGACAGGAAATGTGTTGCCATCAGCATTGTTCGGTATCATATGCAAACAACACATGGGCTACCAGTAGAAACTTTATTTTACCCAGAATTTCCCAATAACAGTGACATAATGAAGGCCTTGAAAAAACGTCAACTTACTAACCAGGGGGCCAGCCAAGTTGGCGCCCAGCCAGAACATGAACATGCAGGTGATAAACAGACTGACAGCCATCTGGCCCATCATTCACAACCACACGGAATCCATTAGTGAGACCCAGATCCTTAACAAGCTTCCGGGCAACAATCAAAAGATGTCCCAGCAGCTGAAAATGAAACAGTCAGAGTTAGCATGGGATTATTTCTGCACACAATTTATTCAAGACTTAACGGCTGGTTTAGGAGGTGCAAATAATGCTCAACTTTCAGCAGTAGGGGCCTCTGGCATTCAGAGTGGGATCCAGTTGTGAGAAAAAACTTCTTGATGCCCTTGGGTGGGGAGCTGAGCCATGGCTGCCAGTTCTGTTACTGACCTATCATGGCTCCTGCACTCATGTCAATAAAATTACTTTGATGGAAGAAGAAGTTTCTCTGTTATAAACACACTGGAAAAGTTTTTCTCTTTTTTTGAAAAGCCAGATCAGTGCACCATCTCACTAAAGAGTATTTTGTTCTTTTCCTTCCTTTAACAACACAACACTGTCACAATTTCTACAGCAATCAACATTATGACTTGCAAAACTCCTTTATTTGCCTTCATATAGTCCATTGATTAATGTTCTGACGTCATTAGTAGTTCTGGAGATGAGGGATTCTAGCTCTTTCAAGTACCTCGGCTTTACAGTTTTGAATGGTATGATTTTTTTAATGATAAATTGAAAAGTATGTGGAACTGAAGACGACCTGCTTTTTGGTAGTATCCCGACATATGCATGGAGGGACTGAGGATAACGACATCCTGTCAGAATAACAAGCTTTTGGATGAGATATGAAGGAAGAATCCTAACTACGCATCGCAACGCTCGGTGTCGAACTCATTAACATTAAAGTACAATTAGAAACAAATTCGTAATTATGGAACGAAGAATCCATACCTGCTCATCAGAATCTTCTGATCTAGATAACTGGGAGATCGGCTTGCGAGGAATCACCAAGAAATGGGTTGGTGCCTGCGGACTAATATCGTTGAAGGCAACACACTGCAAAAATGTGCACAATTAAAAATAAACGTAAAAATCTCTTACTTAAAAATGTTAACCATCATCACAGTCACATTACCTGATCATCCTCGTAAATAAAATTGCATGGGATTTCTTTCCTTAATATCTTGCCAAAAATCGTATCACCGCCTGGCCCTGCAAACCTAGCCTTCTCTACCTCTTCAGCCATTTTTGCACTTCGTATAAAACCAGCTGTTTGGCAAGGCAGTGTTTTGATTGGTCGACATGCAATGTTTAAGATTTTTGCAAGTAGCATGACAGGTGTTTGCAGTACTTTCGTTTTGTATGCACTGTTAAATATTGTTCTTTTACCATTAATCCGCAACTTTTTTATAGATACCTTTCTATTTTAACTATTCTGAAGATGCGTTTATTGTCTGTCGCTTGTTTTCGTTGCATACCACATATCACCTTCAGGCGCTATTGGTTCGATTTGTGTTATTCGATATAATAAAAGTAAATCATGAGATCATGAGCATCATGAGGAAAACAAGTCGTTAGCTGTTGTTTATGAGCGAAAGTAATAGTAATCACAACGGGTATCTGACATAATAGAATTTAATTTGTTTAGGAAGCAGCATAGGTTATAACGCTTCCTTCATAATGCACATAGTATGTGTGCCTCTAGCAACGATTATTACAGTAATACTGTGTATTCAACTCACATTTACAACACAGTCCTTCGAATTTTGTGGCAAAGATTTTGACACCGCAGGATGTAACGAACCATCAGTTACAAAATCAGTTCCAAGGTAAATAAAGATAAATAATCCAGGTACATTTCCATGCACGGAACATTTTACAAATTTCAGTTGAGTGGAAACTGTGATCGTTATTTTGCATTTTCATTGCTATATTGGTAAATATGTCAGTATTCTGGCAAATATACCTAAAACTAAATCTTCTGATAGTGTGTAATGGTTCTGTATAAAAGCCTGTGTAATCATTTTTCAGTACAAAGTAAAGCAAAATGCTGTCATGTATGAGGTGAAGAGTAGTAATTTGTTTAGTCTGACAATTTTGCATACACCCGAAATACCTCTTCTTTTTCATAGTTAAGGGGTGCCTAAGGAAAATTAACTCAATTCTGTGGCCCACAATGAAGATTTTTTTCATTTGGATTCATAAGGCAAAGCTAACCTCAATCATTCAAGCTGTGTTTTCTTCAACCCCTTATCTGCAATGCCAGAAAACTTATTTACTGACCTATAGCTTCATTGAATATTTATTTTTAACACGTGCTCTCTCTTGGCAAAATACAACTTCTTTGGAAAAACAAAAACTAATTGACCTTTTCAGCTTTTGGCAGATTCCACAAATTCACCATTTCTAAAGGAATTCACAGTGTAAGATAACTCATGCATCAGACTGAAATGTTTACATGAACTGACATTGTGGTTATATATTTTAAAGTCCATAAACTGGCAGTCTGTGTTTTGTTTTTAGATATGTCTTGTATGATGTGAACCCCCCAGAAGGTTTTAACCTTCGTCGTGATGTCTACATGAGGATGGCAATATTTGTCAAAAAACTGAAGAAGTTTGAGGACTGTCACCTGGTAAGATGAGGGGTACGTGATTAAACCCTTTTCAGTAATTAGTCTGAGGTTTTAGAGTGAGGCTTTCTGTTTGGCCTTTTTAAATATGGACTCTCATAACAACACAGAAGTATTCATTAGCTTCTCCTTGGCTTATTGTGTAGTAGTGTATCTCAGTTCCTTTATAAAATTGTTCAACAAAATGTGAGACTTATCTAGACTGAGACTGCTACTTATGTGAACATAAAAGTAAAAATAAGTAAAGGTATCCCTATATCAGCCCGTGGAGGCCCATAGGGTTGTGAGCTGTTGAGGTCCCCACATTTTCTCTAGACAGTCAGCTCACAGATGGTGGTAAGTTTGTCAGCCCTGCGCACCGGCCGCCCTTTACCCCCAAGAATATTCCTGGTACTCATTTCTGTTAGAAGCTGAGTCGACCCCAGGGCCATAATATGGCTGGAAGGATTAGGTTAATTGAAAAAATCCAGTGACTTCATCGGGACTTGAACCCGCAACCTTCCGGCTTGTAGCATAATGTCGCAACCAACTATGCTAACACATGCCACTATATATAAACATATAAAATATAATTTCATGCATCTATTGGCCAATATAGGTTGGTAAGAAGTGTTCAGCCAAGTCTCAGTGAGATGAAATTTCATATGATATTTTCAAGTTGAAGACTTTCAAATACGAAAGTGAGCTTGAAATTTACTATCTTCTGGGATGTGATGCCATGTAGTTTTGTAGAAAGTTACCATTGTTTTGGAAGGACCCGCTGTCTTCATCTTCAGGGTAGAAGTTTTTTTTTATAGAGAAGTGTAATGTTTAAAGGAATTGTGTTTTGAGTATGCATCGTCCACGCTGAAGATGCAGACACAGGTTCCTCCAAAACAGTAACTTTCTACCAGACTGTATGGCATCATATCCCAGAAGACAGTAAACGTCGAACAGTAAATTGTAAAGCTATCCTGTGCTTATGTATACCACAGCGGGAGAGAAGTAGGACTCCATATATTTGTATCTGCTGTTTGTCATTTATTTAACAGAACTGTCAATAACTCGGACTTTGTAGGGTTGATCCATAGATTTTGATCTTGGCTGCTGTATGACTAAGTCTAATGGGGCCTATTATTACAATGATAAAATGGAGGAGGATGGAATTGGCAGGTCATGTAACATGCAAGGTAGAGACCAGAAGTGCATATGAACTTTTGGTAGGAAGAACTAAAACAGATCTTAAAGAAACAGAATAGGAGGGTGTAGATTCGATTCATCTGCTTCAGGATAGTGACTACCAGCCGGTTCTTGTGAGCATGGTAATGGATCTTTGGGTTCCATAAAATTATGGGAATTTCTTGAATGGCTGAGCACATGTTGGCTTCCCAAGGACTCACCTTCATGGAGTTATGCTAACAGAGTCTGGCATCCTTTGGATAGAAGCTGTGAATGATCCCCAGTGCCGTTCTTTCTTCTGATGATGATAATGCAGACGAAACAGTAATACAGATATAACCTTGAAATTTTTGTGCCAAATTCTAAAAACATTGAAGAACCAATTAGAAGACTGAGGGTGTTTGAGAACAGGATGTTGAGGAGAATATTTGGACCGAAGAGGGTCGAAGAGACAGGATGTTGCAGAAAACTACATAATGAGGAGCTTCATAACTTGTACTTTTCTCCAAGTATAATTAGAAAGACCAAGTCAAGGAGGATGAGATGGACAGAGCGTGTAACATGAATGGGGGAGAAGAGGACTGCATATAGGATATTGGTGGGAAAGCCAGAAGGAAAGAGACCACTGGGAAGACTGAGGCGTAAGTGGGTGGATAATATTAAAATGGATCTTAGAGAGAGAGGATGTGATGGGATTGTTTGGATTGCTCTGGCTCAGGATATGGACCAGTGGAGGGCTCTTGTGAACACAGTAATGAACCTTCAGGTTCCATAAAATGCTGGGAAATTCTTCAGTAGCTGCAGATTTGACTTCTCCTCAAGAAGGGCTCAGCTCCATAAGTAAGTAAGTAATTGGTTTGACCTTTGAGCTTTGACTGGCTTTCAGAGATTGTGACTTTCTTGGATTATTTTTGTTAATGATTTCCTCTCCACTGTCTGTTTGGTAGATACATGCTTGTGCTTTACTTGCATGTACTAACAGGTGCTGCCACCATGGGGACAGCTGTACCATTGGCAGTCAACTGATGTGGGACGTCAGGATATGTTGCCATGGAGCCTGTTCTTTGACATACCAAGCTTGCGGAAGTTTGCACCAGTCATGGAGATGCATGAATTCCTGCAAGGTATGGGTTCAGTGTACAGCAGAGGTGTGTAACCTTACCAGAATGTGGGCAACACTAGGAAGCTCATTGAGGGCCAATTTAGCCGTTCAGCGTTGTTTGACGTGTATGTTTCGTCAAGGTATTTAAATCGTCTGCGGGGGTTCGACGTCTATGTATCGTCCAGCTGCACACCTATGTTATAACGCCCATAATAATTGATGGTTTTGCTGTAGATTGTTAGATTTTTCGCTGGCCTGTTGTCAGAAGAACAATATATAATGAAACATGAGTTTAGCTGCGTTAAGTCATCATTACATATGCCTGTCTTGCAGCAAATTCGTGTTGCTTCTGGTAGAGATTTCCTCATTCAAACTGTTATGAATGGCGTGTTTTCTTTCATATGAAGTTATAAACAGCAGAGACGTGATATGTGCTGTGTTTATAATATCATATTCCCTGAGCTGGCCACACTAACACACTCAATTAAAATTTTTAGAAGAGGGATGTCCAGAAATTTATTCTTTCAAGATCCATTGATTTCGCACAGTACATAGCAGCCAGTTCTTAGAATAACGTCACGAATTAAGGCAGAACACTGTGGTCACCCCCTGTGACGATATGGGGGGGGGGAAGAACCCATTCCTTCATGTATTATCGCTCCAGTTGACTCCATTTTATTGTACTGACCTTGGTGGTCGTTTTGAGGGATGACCATAAATATTTTTTTGAGCCAGCTAAGCTCTGCTTTCGTGCACTACATACCAGCCAGTTCTTAGAATAACTTCATGATTTCTGTGGTCACCCCTACGACATCTGCTGCAGCCAAAATGGATGGAATGTGAAATGCACAGCACCAACCCCTTGTTATGATAACATAAAGGTTGAATTTACTGCAGCTGATCTGGCAAGCTAAACAACTTCGGAAAGACAGTTCCTCGTATTCCCCCTTTGGGAAGAAGGCAAGACCGCACAGAAGATGTTTGGTTTACGGAAAAAAGGGCCAAATGAAAGATATGCAGTATTGGTGTGGTGAATGTGAGACAGCGTTGTGTATAGAAGAATGCTTCAATGCGTACCATACTCTGCTCAAATTCTAAACCACCTGCTTCCATTGCCGAGATACCGGGCGCTCATATTATAAGGTAAGGTTATAAAAACCATCTTTTAAGATCATTTTAGTGAAAGTTTCATGCTTCAAGGCGTACCATACACTGCTCAAATTCTAAACCACCTGCTTCCATTGCCGAGATACCGGGCGCTCATATTATAAGGTAAGGTTATAAAACCACCTTTTAAGATCATTTTAGTGAAAGTTTCATGTTCCTATCTCATATAATTTAAGAACAATGATGAATAAATCATTTTCAAGCAAAATTTAAATGGTCGGCTGAATATATTACCGCCGTAGAGACACGGCAGCGGAATTTAAATGACCGCGCGAAAGGGTTAAATTGTTATACCCAGTGACTTTAAGCTGGTAAATGTTTATAATTAATGTTTCATTTAATTTGTTGTGAACTGATCAGTATCAATGCAGTATCAGCTGCTACTTGTCCTTTGTGAAGCCACAGATGTCAAATTTTTATAAAAATGTAGCCATTTAAATTATCATTTATGGACAGTCTTTATGACAACTTTACAGGAATATCTAGTTGTGTTTTTACATGCATATTGAGCATAATGCACTAAATATTTATTTAATAGGAAATGTTTTAAATAAAAAGTATAGAGAAAAGTGAAGCACATTTTATATTCGGTACACCTTTTCCAGAAGTCCTGCAGTTTTCAGGATAATTAAATTGGACACTATGCGTATGTTTCCAAACTTCCATAAGATACATTTGATTATGCATGTTTTTTTAATAATATGTGTACCTTTTCTGTATCACAGGCATAGATAATTTGGAGGAGGTAGAATTCCTGAAATTATAACAGAGTACATTTTGTAAACATGGAAACTGTCTAAACTAATTAAGCTCGCACGTTTTGTTTTCATCATCATCAGTAATCTGTCAGACGACAGGTCCACAGTCTCTTCCAAAACAGTTTCTCCACTTAATGCGATCTTCTGTTTTTGGAAAGAGACTATCCAGGAAAAGTGATAATGTGGTAGTTTTTCCATTTGCTTTCCACATCGCAGTACAACAGCCGTTCAAACCACTCTGGTCACGCCTGTTGCTATACGAACTTGAACCATCTCGAGCATCATTTGCTCTGTGCTTCAAGTCGCTGCTGATGACGCTGCTTCCGGCATCAGTTTTCGGTGTCTCTCTTCGTCTGATGCCTACCCTTTGACCTGTCCAGCAAGGGAGGCCCTGCCAGTAGCTACGCTACCGCTGGTATAGCTCTCAGGGTCCTCGGCATACTCAAACCCCCTCACCACGATAAGGTGGAGACCAAGGAGGGGGTTTTGTTTTATGCTACATGAAAAAGTAGTTTTCTATCTGCCTTTCCTGGGAGGGGGGATGACACTTCACCCCTTTTCATTTCTTTTCCACTGCCATGTCTTCTTAACCATGTTGTTCTTCTGTTCGGCAGAGTTTGGCAGTCTCATGCTGGATGTGGTCTATGTCCTGCAGCATTACAAGGGCATGTGGGAGAGCAACCAGTGGGTTCAGAAGTTTGAGATTGAGCCGTGCCACGAGAAGCACCGTTACAGGTTTACTTGAGAAGGATAATTGAAACAACTGTGTCATTTTAAAGAATAAATAACTGGGAAAATAGGCATACAAAAATTATTACTTCAGTATATATTATGTTTAAATTTAATGACTGAACAATTACTGCATGCTCATACAGAAAGCTGAAAAGGGAATGAGAATTTCAAATGTGACATTTTCATGGCAGTGATGAAAATTGCTGTTATATCAGATAAGATGCCGTGTAGTCTGGTAGATATTTATCGTTGTTTTAGCGAAATCTGCTGGCCTTCATTTTCAAGGTCAGCCCTGGTTGTTTTCAAACAATGATAAACATTTACCAGACTATATGGTGTCACATCTGAGATGACAGCAATGTTCAGAATGACAGTATGTTGTAAATTTGAAATGTCCTTAATTAGACTTTCATTATTAGTCTGTGTGGGGACACATGGTAGCATAGTGCCTTAAACAACTATGCTACGAGCCAGAAGGTTTCGGGTTCTAGTCCTGATGAGGTGGATATTTTTTTTTTAATTGACCTAATCCTTCCAGCCGCACTATGGCCCTGAGGTCAACTCAGCCTGTAACAGAAATGAGTACCAGGAATATTCCTGGGGGGTAAAGGGTGGCCAGCACATAAGGCTGACAACCTTACCGCCATCTGTGAGCTGATTGTCTAGAGAACATGTGGGGATCCTCAACGTCTCACAACCCTATGGGCCTCCACGGCCTGTTACAGGGATAGCTTTACCTTTACTTTTTTTTATTAGTCTGTGTTATTTGCAAAAAAGACAGACTTATGGGTCACAGGGGATAAGCCCTCGGAACCCAATGACTACAAGGCTGGGAGAAACCCACAGCCTGTCTGGATGCAATGGAGCATAAAAATCCTCTTGTCCATGCTTGAAATAAAACCCTGGCTGTTCATCCCACAGTCCATCACTATACCGACTGAGCCATCCTGGCTCTTTAAATTTTGCTGATCTCATTATATCGGAACTTCTTGTTTGTTCCTACAGCAGGTCAGAGAATGGGATGTACAAAGGTTGGTTTTGGGGATACCCCAACATCACAGCCACTGAGGTGCACTGCCTCTCATTTCATGGACATGCTTCACATCTGAAAGGAGTTCTACAGAATCTGAAAGCTCGGTGAGTGTTCTTACAGGCTCTCCATCTGATGTGATACCAGCAGACTTTGTATTCTGCTATATTGTGGCAGTATATTTCTCAACCCTCATAACTTTTGAGGTTGTTACTCTTGTAGATAAGGCTGTATAAGGATGTATAGCCCTTAACATTGCAGTGCTGTTATGTTTGACCATGCTGAGGTGGCCCTACATGATGTGTTTGGAGACGCACTGTACTGGAAGGCTCGCCGAAGCATGCGGTTTTCCTCTGGTCTTGTGAAGCTGGCTGGAAGCTTTAGGATGGAGTACCTAAACTCCACTGATGAAACAGATGGTACCGTCAGACCAGGTGATTGGACAAAAGAAAAAGTGAGTATATCCAAATGAGAACTTAAAACATTGTTCTCACAGTGGTGACCGAGGGCCAGTCATTTGGGATGTAAGCCTGCACACCAGAATTTTGGAGGAAAGTGGTATTCATGTAGAGAGGGAGATGAGGGTACAGTCATAAGCGAACAAGCAGGAATAAGGACAACAGGGAAAACAGTATTGGTCCGTAAAAACACCCCTTTTAAGGGTCAAATAATCTTTATACCATTCTCCTTACTTACATCCCAGAATCTTTGTCATATGTGATGTTTCTTGCATGCAGTAGGATGGAAAGACCATTGTCAATTTTCAGGCCCATTCAGATGTAACGGGTGGTCCGTATATGTGCGTTCACCTGCGTCGCAAAGACTTCCTATGGGGCAGACCGAAGCAAGTGCCAAGCATTAGAGGAGCAGCAAAACAGATGAAAGTCCATCTTGAACAGCTGGGGCTGACAACTGTATTTGTTGCAACTGATGCACCACTGGAAGGTAACCTGAACTGTTGCAACCTCGTGTCTAGAATTTTTGAGTCCCTGTTACACACTAGTAATAGCCTATGTTTCAGAGTTTGAGGAGCTTCAGCGACACCTACAGGAGTACCAAGTGCTGCAATATGAGCCCTCACAAGTCGTGAAACATACCTACAAGGATGGGGGTATAGCCATCATTGAGCAGATCATCTGCTCTCATGCAAGGTACCATGTGCATGACATCTGTGATTCATTAGCTCTCACGCTTGGTATTCAGAAGGTCCTGGATTCAAATCCCAACATGAAGACAGACTATCCTGAGGTGTTTTTCATGGTTTTCCTCAATCTCTCCAAATGCCGGGAGAGTACCTGAAGTTAGGCCATGGCTACTTCCTTCCTATCCAATTATTCGCTAATTTTAAGTTTACTGTCTCGTGGGATGTCACTATTGTAGTCTGATAAATTTTAAATGATATTTTGGAGGCATGTACCATCCTGATCTTCAGGGTAGCAGCTACTACCAGTGTCATTAGAGAACCATAAATAAACACATACATATCAAGAGATGTGTTGCAGCTGATATCTGACCACATTTCATTTTCCTACAGATTCTTCACTGGAACCTACGAGTCGACATTCTCATTCAGGATCCAGGAAGAACGGGAGATCATGGGATTCCCGCCTGAGAACACGTTCAACAGGCTGTGCGGAGATGGTGAGGAGAAATGCAGCCAACCATCCAGATGGAGGATTGTTTTCTGATGGGAGTACAGTGCGCTGCATTGTGCCTGATGTTTTAAGTGCGTGGAATGTCGATTACAGGGAAGATGACCCATGCCTGGTGATCAGATGTCGGAGCCACATTTGGCTGGTGTGGTGGCAGATCAAAAATTCATGCCAGCTATTAAACAAAAGATTTATTGTGGGTGTATCCAGTCGTAAATCACATTTTGATGTCACTGTTCCAAAACAGGAAGTGGGAGAAAAATCACCATCACCATTTACTGTAGGGTCCTGACATCTTTATGGTAATCAGTTTTTAATATATAATAGTTGTTACAGTAATTGTACAGATTAGAATACCAGAAATTGATCGCTCGATTGTATAGTTCATTTGCAGTTCCTGGTATCCTCACAAGAAGAAAAACTTGTCATAAATTCTTCCCAGAACCCCTCATAATGTGTAAACAGGACAAGGCAGTTTGACTTGTATAAAGCTTATCCATAAAGACAAGGGAAATGAAGTGAGATCTGTGGTATTCACAGCAGCTGGTATTATGATTGCTAGTCGGGTGGGACTAAGTCCCTTGTACTGCGGCCACTTCTGGCCTCTTGTACCAGCCCCAGATGATAGGTGAGGGTGATTGTGGAGCAATTGGTGGAATGAAGATTGGCAGGGGAAACCAAAGTACTTGGAGAAAACCTGCCCCAGCACCACTTTGTCCACCACAAATCCCACTTGACCAGACCCGGGATCAAACCAGGCTGTCCATGGCACGGCCGTCTTACACAGCAGCTAGCATGCAGATAAATCTTCTGGGATGTGATGTCATGTAGGTTCGGATGAAACAGAAATATTGGCAAAATTCCATTCCAGATATGTAAGAATGTTTCTGAGTAACCTGCTGCACCCCAAGTCTTGGGCAGCGCTGCATTTCGGAAGTTCCAGATTATATTGTCTCTTCTTATAGTCTCCAAACATACATTGTCACAGGGTCAAAAATGTATTTAGTAGAAATGAGTAAAACTGGTGTACAAGATGCAACTGAAAACACTGTTTATTACAGATCACATTCAACTGGTATATATTTACCGAGACTTTCAGCTTCAGCTGTGTGCTATATGACTTCCGTTGCATGTGGTCACTTGTAATAACTTACACCATCTGCCTGTGTCTATCTTCATTGCTCGAGAAATGTTAATGCACACCTGTGATGAGTAAATATATATATATTTTATGCATTCTTTAAGAATGGTTGAAGGTTTTAAGTTATATTTCTGGAGCCCTACACACTTTAATAATAAAATGTCATAATGGAGGGGACTGCTTTTCAAATTCAAGTGCAGAATACCGTGTACCCCCATTCAAGACTTCCTTGGGTAGCAGTGGATTTGAATATTAAATTGAGGAAAATCTTAACACTTTTACTCCCAGCAGGTCTGATGCTGGCGTACCTTGTAGTCCAGCCATTTTTAGCAGTTGCGGTATCTGCAGTAAAGAAATGATTAGCATACTCTACACATGTACAAAGAACCGCACCATCTAGTGACAGAGGAAAGACTTGTGCTCAAACTGTGTTCTAAAAAAGAACACATCTTGCAGGAGCAAATGTGTTAAATACAGGAGATTTACAGACACTAAGATTATTGACTTGGGAATGTTGAAACATACTAAATGGGGTTTTCACTATAATACATCTGCTTCAGATCATATAATCATACTTATGTGACATTTATTGCATCCATCGGTTTCGTTAGAAGCGTTGCTTGTATTAACATCAGATGAGTATGGGAAGGCACAAGGGCAAACTTGTCCGGGGTCTCATTAAGAGCTTTTTCCTTTCTCACCATGTGATGATGACGGTTTGGCGATAAGGTCAGTCTCTCGCTGCAGCTGCAATTCCCTCTGATGTTCGCGATGTAGAGCTGCCTTCTGTTTTGTTTGTTGAAGTTTCAGTGCCCTCTTCTGCACAACATAAAGAGCATTTATCACTTCTGCACTAAAAAGCGTCATGTCATGTTGACAGTTGAGGAAAAGTTACTACTGTGCCACAGAAGCATGTAAGGAGAACAGAAGAAACTTGCATGAATTCATGACCTCACTTCACATACAAAAAGTTACTGCAGACACGTACTTACTTTTAGCTTTGTGGCTCTGTCATGGAGCTGTATCATCTCTTTCTTGATAGCAACTAACTTCGTCTGGTACAGTTTCAGCACCACAAACTGAAAACCAGATACAGAAGTCAGTTTTGGTAGTTTCTGCAGCCTACACTTTTGTCATGGGGGGAGGGGCACGCGGTAGCATAGTTGGTTGAGGCACTATGCTACAAGCTGGAAGGTCGCAGGTTCAAGTCCCGATGAGGTTATCAGTTTTTTTTTTCAATTGACCTAATCCTTCCAGCCACACTATGGCCCTGGGGTCGACTCAGCCTTTACCAGAAATGAGTATCAGGAATCTTCTTGGGGATAAATGGTGGCTGGTGCGTAAGGCTGACAATCTCACCGCGATCTGTGAGCCGATTGTCTACAAAATATGGGAACCTCAATGTCTCACAACCCTATGGGCCTCCACAGCCTGTTACAGGGATAGCTTTAGTTGCTTACTTTACTTACACTTTTGTGTACATGACAAAATACTGCAGCTTCCTCTAGACACTTATAATCACTATATAGTAATTATATGCAGAGCATAGCAATTCTGGGATGGTCACAACCTTTTTTAATTATTTCCAAAGGCAAAACTTTTATGGAAAAGTGTACTGCATGTGATGTGTATGCTTCATTTTCCTGTACAACTTTGTGCAGAAATGCACGTAGATGCTTTTGTAAAATTTCAACTTTCTTTATTGTTCTGATTTTAACCAAAACTGAAATGTGGCAACAAATTTTGGTAAAACTCTCCAATATCAAATTTAATGAAAATCCTTTCAGTGGTTCTTAGGTTGGTTTATACATATAAGAGTTTTCACAGGTGCTCTATGGCAATGCAAACATGCAATTTTGTATAATCTGAAAGCCAAGAGGCTGAGGTCAAAACCCATACAATGTTGCTAACTTACTGAAACAGCTATGAGAAAATACCGTTTGCTGCAGGTCCTCTAATGTCTCCACATTGGTGAACCTGCGATTCTCATCTTCCAACTGGCTTATCAGGCTTGTCTGCTTCTTTCTAGAAAGTAAGGTACAACTGTAGCCACTATCAACATGTCTATACACACACCGTGTCACAAAGTGGACTTACGTTAATTCATCAAGTTGCTGTCTTACTTTCTTGAGCTTTGCTTGGTAGAGAGTCACAAGTCCCTCTGCTGGCTTGCTAACATCTACAGGACTGAAATGAAACATCACTAAGCAGCATTCTCATCCACTCAGAACAGGAGGAATTATATGCTTAATGTGTAAAATGATACTGCACAACCATGAATCAAAAGAAATGTATAAAAATGGCAGCAACGAATTTGGCAAATGAAAATTATAAAAAACAAGTGTAAATTGAGAGGGCTCTTATCTTCCATTTGCCTGGAGGGACTCAGAAAAACCGCGAACCGCGACCCTTCCCAATCCAAAACAAATGTGCGGTTCTTTCAACTGAATCGTTTGTTTTCTCATATTTCATAGATAGGTTGATCTTACTGATTTTAAATCATCTGAAGTTAAAATGCTGTTTGAAATTTCTCGCACTTAACAACCTTGCGGTGTTCTGAAAACGTAAAATTCGTTGCTCTTCTGGGAATAAATCCACGTAATAGAGATTCTTACCTCTCACTGCTAGATTCCTTTGGTTCAACCGTACAAGCTTGTGTGGAATAGTCTGTCATTTTTTCTTATTACTGTGCAGATTGTAAAGTGCCGTACGATTGTTATAGCATCATAGTTCAATAAAACAAAATGCGTATTTTGTCTAACATTATTCCAGCAAGTTCTTTATCAAGTTCGTCACAGGCTTCACTGTACATCCGTTTTGTCGGACGTCACAAACAGCTGTGCCATGGATATATATCACTATAACTTTCTTGTAGAATCTATGGAGATAAGTGCTTCCGGGTTTTTCTGTATCGATTGTGTATGACTGCGGCTTTCAGGAACACGTCGTGTTGCATGTTGATATTTTTCCAGGTTGTCGACAACATTACAGTTTCCATCTTCAGGGAACCCTGAAGATGGAAACTCCAGTCTTCACAGACATGTTTAAAAACCATCAATATTCTCAAAAGCAGAAGCGATAAATTAACTGCAGCCGCGAAAACTTACGGACGAGTATATCGATTATTATTGTGCGTAAATTGACCAATCATATTTGTCCAAGTATTGTTGACACTCTCTCTCCAAGGTTCAGAGCTGCCCGCAGCCGCCTGTTGTCTGATCCGTGGTTGGCACGTCATGTGGCAGGTAAAGATGAAAATGGCCACGGAGGTGAGGTGGCTATGTTATGCCGCTTTGTTTTTCATCACGACATATGAAGTTTCTGGTAACGTGCCATTAAGAAGATTTGAGTACAAGTATAGTTTCAAGCCACCGTACTTGGCGCAGAGAGATGGAAGTGTACCTTTTTGGGAATACGGAGGAAGTAAGTTTGATATCGCAACATAGTTTCACATTTCCTTGGCTTGCCAGATGGCAGATGCTGTACCGTAATTTTGAACGCAAAGTTGTGCGTTCAGGCCATTCTGTTTTGTATGATTTATAAGAATTGTAATTATTCATCCGAAATATTTTTAATCGCAAGATATGATTAAGTAGGCCGTATGGTTTTCTATTGCAGATGCAATTGCGAGCGCAGAGAATGTTAGAATTGCCCCGTCTCTGAGAAGTCAGAAGGGTAAGTGAGGTTTGAGTTAATTTTTTACTTTTGTTTATTTCAGTCTAACCCAAACGTATATGTGAATTTCTGTAATTAATATTTGTTTTTCATCAGGTGCGATATGGACAAAGATGAAAACAAACTTTGACTGGTGGGAAGTGGATATTATATTTCGTGTCACTGGCAGAGGAAGAATTGGCGCAGATGGATTGGTGTGTATAGATAACACTTAAGATTAACATAGTTACATTTTTTTTTTGTGGTTTAGTTCTTGCAATGTAAAATTCTATGGGCAGGTCTTGACAGATCTGGTCAATGTCTTGGCGTCCCCAATAGCTTTTAGGTGACAAAATGGGTGATGAAGTTGGGGATTCTTTATTTACATCACATGTGAATAAAAGGCTATTTGAAAGAGTTTTGTTTTTTCAAATGAAAGTGACATGTCAAACTGTGAGGCATTATACGTTATTTACCAATAAATGAGAAAAGTCAGGATGATGATGAACTGAGGACCTCTGGTGTATGAATGACAACCACTATGAGATATGCCATAGCTTAGGCAGTTAGTCAACGGCTTCTTCCCACGGTAGCATAGATTTGTTGCCAGGTCAAATTATGTGTGATATTGGTAGAAAATGTGGTACTAAGGTGGGTTTTCTCAAAGTACTTCTGTTTCCTCTCCTATTTCTCGTTCCAACTGCTCCGCATGCATTAATGATCCTACCATCTGATTATATAATGTCAGTATTGAGAGAGTCATTAAATAACCAACTTAAATATAAGCAGTATGATACGACTTTTGATCACAAGTGTCCCACAATTTCTGTGACTTTGACTTCAGGCAGTTGCTCATTAATATTATACAGGGAGGATTTTTGCTTTGTGTACTGGTTCCATGGCTCTTCGCTTCATGGCAGCTGGTGCACTGCTTGCTGCGAGACACATACAAATTTTGCTGATGAATCATCATGCCTGGTGGCTGATAACATTTGGAATTAGGAGAGGTCCTACCTTTGTTCGCAGATCACAGGAGGTGTTAAAAAGGCTGGCCCCCCTCCACATAGACATTCCTTGCATCAGTGGAGAAAGTTTTTTTATTTACCCTTTGAAGATGTGCTGCAGGAATATTTGCAGTTTCTCTGTAAATATTTTCTTTCAGTTCTCCTGGTTGTTGATTACTGTTGAAACTTCATCTTCCAAACAACCCCAGAAGAAAATCACAAGGATTAAGATCGGGTGAATGTGCTGGCCAAATACCACTGATAATAATTCTGTCCCTGAAGTCGTTGGTTGCGTAGACATATGTACAGTGTGGGCAGTAGCTGAGTCTTGCTGAAACAGGTCATAGAGTCTTTCTTCTTCTGTTAACTCTGGAAAGAATTTGTGGATAATGCAATTTTAAAATTAATTGTTTTGTTTCAAAACACAGGTCCAACAATTGTTGCACTTAGAGCACATCAGACACCAACTTTCACTGGTTGGAGCAGGACTTCGTGTGTTAGATATGGATTCTGTGACTTCCAATAGCGATTATTTTGCATATTTGTGTATCCCTGGAAATGAAACCACGCTTCATCAGAAAAGAATGTCAATTGTGGATTGATCTCACCTTCGACAACACTCTGTAGAACCCAACTATAATAATGAACCCTGCTAACTGGATCACACAGCTGAAAGGCATGGATTACTGTTGTTTTATAGGTTCTGAGCTTCAGCAATTGTGTTGCCCTTCTTGAACTAGACTTTGACACTCAAGTATCTCGAGATACAAGGGGGTACCCAGAAGAAACCGAACTTATTTTTTTTTAAACTTATTTATTCAAATTTTAAGCACAAACCTTCAATCCCTTTCAAAGTACTCTCCACTTACACTAATACACTTGTCTAGTCTTTTATTCCATTTTTCAAAACATTGTCTAAATTCATCTTTTGAGATGCTTGACAGTGCCTCTGTTGTTTTTTTCCTTCACCTCAGCAACAGCAGCAAAACGCTGAAAAAAAGTTTTGATCATTTCGGGACTCTTCTTTCAAAGCACAGCATGCTTCCACGTGACCTTGTTTTTGTTCAGCGGTCAGCAGTCGTGGCACGAATTTCGCAGCCACCCCTTTCATTCCCAAATCTTCTGTCAAAATTCGCTGAACTGAGCTCCAAGTCACTCCCGACAGCTCCACAATTTCTTCAATGGTCCGTTGTCGATCTTCCTTGATGATTTCACGAATTTTTTCAACATTTTCATGTGTTCGGGCCATTGCAAAAACGACGACACAAAACAGTTGTCACTATAAACTCTGCCGAAACTAGTCCTTACCTTCTGAAACAACGGTAGTCGGCTTATTGACTCAGGAATGTTAGCTCTGTGCGCTCATAGCGGCAAAACGCGGTACTACAAAAGCTCTGTCCACAAAAAATTAGTTTGGTTTCTTTTGGGTACCCCATCGTAGATGTTTCAGTGATTTTCTAGGTGTATGTTCAAGTCTGGCCCCTGTGTCATCCAACTCAATAAGCACTTGCTGCTTATGTTTTGTTTCTTGTCTATTAAGAGTCCAGTTGTTCTAAGTTTATTTACCAAATTACGATATGAATCGTTTGTCTCCTGGGAACTTTTTCATCACAACATTGATATCAAAATTTTTGCTAACACTTTCTGGCAGATACAGAATTACATGTTGCCCTAAAGTGAACTGCACCGTGACATACCGCACTGCCCACTAACTGTTAACTGGGAACAAATGGCCAATGGAGCTGATGACTGCTGCCTACTGCTGACAAATCATAAGCAAACTCCCACGCATGAATGGCGCTGCCCTCTGTGAATGATGCTGTCAGGTGGTCCACAAGTTAATTACTTCCCTTCATTCCAAAAGTTATAGGCCATCAGGCATGCTGAGTCATCAGAAAAATTCATTATATGCCTTGCAGCAAACAGCGCACCATTCGCCATGAAGCAGAGAGTCGTGAATTGGTCAGTGAAGTTAAAGGAACTCTGTATAATCATTTTTTTTTAAACTTTAATTCTTATAGTGATGAATGAGTAATGAAATTATTTTTTTTTAAATTAAAAGTATTTCTTCATAAACAGCTAAATGAATATCAAAATTAATTTTTTTACGTATTTATCATTAAAAATTTATGGCAGTGAAACCAGAGGAGCAACAAAAAAAAATTATGAGAACAAATTTCATGTAATTCAGTGGATACCATTATGTATTTTTGTACATTTTATCCAGCCTCCATGAAAATATACTCTGTGACATATTTGCTGTAGGACTGTCCTGTGTTTCTGAACAATGTTACGTTAATGGAGTATCATTCATACCAACATTGCTTCTTTTTTTCAGGCATTTTGGTATACAGAATCTAAAGGAGCGTATGATGGGCCAGTGTTTGGCAGCTCAGATAAGTGGGTTGGTCTAGGCATCTTCTTTGACTCGTTTGATAACGATAACAAGCACAATAATCCGTATATCATGGCTGTTGTCAATGATGGTACTCAGGAGTTCGACCATCCTAAGTAAGTGTGTGTGTGTGTGCAGCTGGCAAAATTAATGGAATTCATTCTTTTCTTCAGTTCATAATTTTTCTTATTTCTGGATTTCTAATCAGCTCAGTTACATTACTTAGTTATGACTGTTAACACATGAAATGATCCAGTCAAAAGTTGAACTAAATTAAAAGTAACCAGTCTGTAAGGTAAAGGTAAGGCCATCCCTGTAGCAGACCTTGGAGGCCCATAGGGTTGTGAGATGTCGAGCTTCCCACATTTTCTAGACAATTGGCTGAAAGGTGATGCTGAGGTTGTCAGTGCTGGCTAGCTTTCACCCCCAAGAAAATTCCTGGTACTCATTTCTGTCAAAGGCTCTGAGTGAACCCCAAGGCCATAATGCAGCTGGAACGTTTAGGTCAATTGAAAAATCCACTGACCTAATCGGGGATCAAACCTGCAACTTCCTGGCATGTAACATAGTGCCTCAGGTGCCCTTTTCTTACCATACGCAAAGGTATGCTTTTACTCTCATGGCATTTATGCAATTCCCGCATACTTGATATAATGCTTACCATTATATGACCTGTCAAGGGTGATGGAATATCATTTCTTTCATCCTGTGTTACATCATCCTAATTTTGCTTTTCATTTATCAATTTTATACCTTTATCTCCTTCCCTCCTTTCTCTTGTATTCATTTCCAATCCCATCTCTTTGTCCTATCTTCATTCCTTTCATTATATTCTTCTCTTTTGCTCTTTGTTTGGCAGTAGTTATAGTTTTTATTTATATATCACAACAGTGGAAGCACTGCAATTGTATTTTGTAGGTGTTTAAATACTGCTGTGACCTGATAACCAGAGTCGTGCTTGTGAAAACGTAGAATGTTGTGCAAGGGACCCTTGGAGTAACATAGGTTGTTTATTGACAGAAGAAATTACTTAAACTTAAATATTTCCCTCTCTAATTTGGCTTCAGGTTATAAGCAAATTGTGTATAGTGCTTTTATTATATTTTGCAATATCGTAATATCACCATCATTAGACCTGCACAGAGTTTCTATCAATGTAGAGGCCAGAACAGAAAACAGGGTACCTCAGGTGAGATATTTGCTTCTTTTTACTAACAAAAGGACAACTGATAGGGATGCAAAAGATTTCTGACACTTAACATTTTACAGTGATGGTACCACGCAGCTGTTGGCAGGCTGCTTACGGGACTTCCGAAACAAACCGTTCCCAACCAGAGCAAAGATCGAGTACTACCAGAACACACTTACGGTATGTTATCAGCTCATTCACTGTGTGCCTGAATGCACTGCATTGAAGCATCAAGGGAAAATTGTTTTTAAAATAATTATGCATGTCGTTATGTCAGAACTTAAATCAGTCATGCATAGAACCATATATAAGAAAGTATTGTCATAAAGATAAAAGAGGGTAAAGTTGACCCTGTTCTTAATTAGTTAAGCACTGTGCCATGGAGACATGGGGGAGTGGAGGTATAGCTCCACGTGTCTAGACCTCAGCATTAGCATTAAATGGAGGTGAGCAGTCAGCGTCATGCCTCTGGCGCTTTAACCCCCTGGGAGGTAGTACCCGGTTCCTGTTGGAAAGGAGGGTGGGTGGACCCCAGAGCTGGTCTGAACACTGAACAGAAAAATTTTGCACTGCTGGGAATTAAATCTGAGCTCTCCAGCCTGTATCCAATCGCTATATCAGCAGCAAAGAAAAATCAAGTCTCCAGTTCCTGACATATATATGTGGTTTTCATTGTCCATGTTTAGAAATGTGGCGTTTGGTGTGCCATCTGTCAGTCTCTAAGTATGGATGTGTACGTCACTTAGTACCTGGGTGGAGGAACATTGTAGCTCCAAAATTATTGGCCCAAGATTTTAAAACAGCTGCACCACTTTCAATTAAATTCCCATAATTTATGAAGACCATTTTGCTAAATAAAGGTGCAGCTTCGTTTAGGGAGATGGCATCTTCTGAAATATAATGGTACATGTAGTAGGTGTCAAAATGCGAAATGTTGATTTATCAAAACCGGCTTCACTGATCGGCTGGATTTTATTATTGTTCTGTGTTCAGCGCTCAACAGTGGTCTTCATGGTGATGTAGCAAAGGTCGATTATATGTGAGGAAGTACGTGCAGTGTCTTTGCATGATTTTTTTTGCATACTTTATAGACATTTTCCTTAGATCTTCAATTGGCCTACAGGTCTTATTCCTCAGTGGGATGACAAACAACGAGCAGGACTTTGAGGTGTGTCTGCGTGCAGAAAATGTGGTGTTACCAAAATATGGCCACTTTGGAGTTTCAGCAGCCACAGGCGGCCTTGCAGGTATGTTGGGTCTCTGCTTGAACTTGGAAAGGGAGTAGTTACTAGTTCAATAGGAATTGTGCAGGTCAGAAGATTTTATTGTTTAGGAAGGAAAATAAATTCTTTATTTCTGGTACTGTTTGTTTTTAATCTTAATGCACAGAGTTCATAATGAGAGGTTCAATCTCAAGAAATTAAAAGAGGTGGAGTGTAAAGAGCAGTATCGTGTTGAAATCTCAAATAGGTTCGCTGCTTTGGAAAACTTGGACACTGAGGTGGATGTTAATAAAGCTTGGGAAACTGTTAGAGAGAATATCAAAATTTCTGCCAAGGAGAGCCTAGGTTATTATGAATTGAAGAAGCATAAACCATGGTTCAACAAATGATGCTCAGAACTGTTAGACCAAAGGAAACAAGCCAGATTGCAATGGTTACAGGATCCAAGCAAAATAAATAGGGATAATATGAACAATATAAGACGTGAAACCAGCAGGCATTTCAGGAACAAAAAGAAGGAATATCTGAACGACAAAATTGATTAGCTTGCAATGAACAGTAAGAACAAGAACATTAGAGACCTGTATAGAGGAATAAATGACTTTTAAGAGGGGTTACCAGCCTAGCAGTAACTTAGTGAAGGATGAGAATGGTGATCTGCTTGCAGATTCCCACAACATTTTGAATAGGTTGAAGAACTACTTCTCACAGTTATTGAATGTACATAGGGTCAGTGATGTTAGGCAGATAGAAATACATACACTTGAGCCAATAGTACCTGATCCTAGCTGCCATGATTGCAGTAAGTATTGATGGCCTGGGTTTGCCTTGAATTTATTTTGTAAATAGAATAGTCAGACAGTAAGTGATTTTAATTTAATTTGATATCCATAACCATTATATTCCTAAGGCAAAAACACAGACACACACACAAACCCAGTGGGTATATCTGCTGGCTACAGGCTGGACAACCAAGAGGTTGGAGTGCGAGTCTTGTTTGTGGCAAGAATTTTCCCTTCTCCATGCCCAGATGAGCTCTGGGGCCCACCCAACCTCCTCTCCACTGGGTACTGGGGGCTCTTTCTGCGGGGGTAAAGCAGCTGTGGCATGAAACTGACCACTCACCTCCAACTAGTGCCAAGGTCAAGAAAACATGGTTATGTACATCTTGATGGCATAGTGCTTAATTAAGTGCAGGGACAACTTCACCTTTTATGTTTTACATATGCACACACAGGGACAAACACACACACACACACACACACACACACACACTGTTATGTAGCCTACTTCCATTCAAATGCATGCGAATATTCGACAAGTCATAACTTTCATATGATTGCTGCAGATGACCATGATGTATTACATTTCCTGACAACCAGCCTGCACCCACCTGGCCAAGCCCCAATACCTCCTGGAAGCCTTCATGTCTCAGACGAGGAACAGCGCAAACTTTCGCAAGAGTATGCCGATTATCAGCGCAAACTGGAACAACAGAAAGAGGAGTATGTCTCTAAGTACCATTGCTATCACTGACACGTTTATCTCGGTGTGTTCTCTTTGCATGCTAATACATATTAGTAGCTTGGTTTCTGGTATCTTTGTGGCACCATGCTTTAAAGAATTATTAATTTTGTTTTTAATATTCCTTGAGAGCAGTAATATTTGCTCATTGCTTCCATTCCCTAGCTGACTTGGGGAACTGCCCACCCAAATGCTAGTAGCAACGCTTTCTGTGGGACTAATTTGGTTTAACGCTTATGTTTGCTGGGAGAGGGACACAATTGCAAAAGTGTGTGTGTATGCTTCGCACATGCATTCAGCAGCAGTATTTGTAAGCGCTTCAAAATTCATATTGTAATAGAGCAGAACATTCAAAGAACAAAACTAATATGATTTCAGCACATACCGAACCCTGTCAAGGCTTCATTTTATTTGTTCCCCCTTCCCAAATTTTCTTAATTGCAATCCTTTCATGAAACAATTGAAGCATTTGTTTTCATGTGTGATATAACAGCACATCAATTACATTGTAACCACGTCTGTATTTGTATACGTGTAGATCAAAAAATTTCAATAGGATGAAGCTGCTTCTAATTATCGAGAACAAGATGTTTCAGTAATTTTCGATCATGTTTTCAAAAATTGTTGGTTATTGGATACAGAATCACAAACAGTGCCCCTTTTATTGAATTTTCTAGAGAGCTGTAAGATTTTTGGGCTTGAAATGTATGTTTCATGACTTTGGTTTGAAACATCCTTCATTCCCGTAAATATTTGAATTGTGTCCAAGATGTACATGTACACATGTACATCTTCAAGATGACCATTAATCTTTGTTTGGTTTAGCCAAAAGTAGAATTTGTGGACAAATTCTAGTGGAATTCTGTGATATCAGACTTCATAAAAATCTTACAAAAGGTTAATCAGTGAAATATTTTTTCCTTCTCTTCTTTCTAATCTTTCATCCTTGACATGTTTTGGTCAGAGCGACCATCTTCAGAAGGACATATCCATACGGGCAGAAACTGCTATTACAATGTGTTTGGTCAGTATCAATACATACATACAATATCATCACAAAGCTATGAATATAAAATCTGATCCTTCAACAACTACAGCGACGTTCATGAATACATTAAAATGTTTATAAATTATTACAATTAGTCTGTTTACAAGTGCAGTTTAAAAAAGATTTTGTTAAAATTTTTAGAACCAATTTGGTTTGTGTCCTTTGTATTGCCTCTCTTTGAAGAAAGTTGAGTGTCAACTACCTCATACTTCTGTTGTTTGATGAGTAGGACTCTTTAATGACATCCTGTTGTTCGGGCCGCGCTGTGTTGTTATACTTTGGTTCGTTGTCATATTGCTAGTATCACGGACCGGGATGAACCAAATCAAATTCATGAAAACCTTCTTAGTTGTTCTTGACTTTCATATATACAGACAGATAAGTGGAGCAGTTTTATTGGACCCTCAGCACGATCGTGATTGTGCCTAAAGACACAGGACCTACTGGTGGCTCTGCTTTATTTGTGAATGATTTATTCTTTAAGTTATTTATTGATACCTTCAGCTGCATAAGTATATAGAGGCAAATCATTAATGGTCATTAGTGAAGGAAGCAGAAGGAGGTGACTGTGATTTATTTTAAGCACTGTCCCATGGTTCACCCGAACAGCTAACAAAAGACATAAAAGTCTGAGCCTGCTCACCAAACTGTTTAGTGTGTCATCTTGTGATGTTGGTGTTGAGATCTCTTTCCCTTTAGGCTTGTTCCATCATGCAAGTGAATGCTTGCGTACATTGCGTTGGTTATGTGACCACTGTATTAGTACACTCACTGCCAGTGCCAATTGTGTGACAGATTGAAGTGTACCACACACTGGTGCTGATCTGTCAAGTTACGGACTCTTGGAACTTCATACGTAAATGCCATTTTCTAGTATGGATATCTCTGAAATGCAAGGAAACTTTACATGTACGTGGGGCAATCCAAAAGTTTCTGAAATTTGAATTTTGCGCACAAATGGTTATGAGTACATCGAAATATCACTAGGTGTCTCCTCACACATCCTTCTTGAATCAGTGTGGCAAGCGGCGTCGAGTTGAGTGGTTGGGTTTATTGTTGGTGAACGTATTTCCATTGTTGTGTTTCCGTGAGTCTGCGGTTTTGCGATGGCTGACCTGAGAGAGCAGCATGTCTGTATAAAGTTTTGTTTCAAACTTGGGAAAACCGCTGCAGAAACACACCAAATGTTGAAGCAAGCTTTTGGTGACAACAGTTTAGGCCAGACACAAACTTACGTCTGATATAAGCGTTTCAAAAATGGCCAAACTTTGACTGATGATGACGATCGTTCGGGACAGCCATCAGCGGGCAAAACACCAGAAAATGTCGCGAAAGTTAGGGATCTGATTCTGCAAGATCGTAGACTGACCATCCAAGACCTCTGTAACACCTTGGGACCAACTTATGGCGCATGTCAACGAATTTTGTCAGAGGAACTGAACATGAGGAGGATTGCGGCGAAGTTTGTGCCACGACTGCTGCAAAATGAACAGAAGCAGCATCGCTCGGAAGTCTGCAGGGAACTTCAGCAACAGCTTCAAGAGGATCCAAATTTTCTTTCGAAGGTTGTCACTGGTGACGAAAGTTGGGTTTATGGCTACGACCCTGAAAGCAAGCAGCAGTCGTCGCAATGGAAGAGCCCTTCTTCACCTCGGCCAAAAAAAGCTCGACAAGTCAAGAGCAACATTAAGTCCATGTTGATCTGTTTTTTGATACTGACAAGATTGTTCATAAGGAGTTTGTCCCTCCTGGTCAGACAGTCAATAAAGAGTTCTATCCCGATGTTCTAAGGCGTTTTATGGAGGACAAGAGAGAAAACGTCCAGAGAAGTGGCGCACGAATGACTGGGTACTCCACTGTGACAACGCACGACTGCATACGGCTTATATTGTGCAGGAATTTTTTGCTAAAAACAAGATGGCAGTTGTTCCTCACCCACCATACTCGCCAGACTTAGCTCCATGCAACTTCTTTCTCTTCCCCAAAATGAAAATCAAGTTGAAGGGGCAAAGATTTGATACAGTTGAGGAAATTCAAGCGGAAATGCAGACGGTACTAAACACCCTAACAAAGAAAGACTTCCAGGATGCATTTGAAAAGTGGCAGAAATGCTGGGATCAGTGTATGTGCTCCCAAGGGGACTACTTTGAAGGTGATGGTGCAGAATAAGATCTAGGTAAGATGTAATAGTTTTTATTAATATATTTCGGGAACTTTTGGATTGCACCACGTATCTTATCAGAGCTCAAAAACGTACAGCGATTGTGAATTGGTTTTCCTTATTCTCTTAAATTTTCATTTCAAGTGTAAGTTTGAATCCAGTTTTCAAGGAAAAGTGGCTGGACCAACAGGTAAAATCCTGTTATTGGTGGCATGGCAGGGAATGTGTTATAGTGAGGGGTACAAAGTTTGTAATGTCATGTAAGTAACTAGGCTTGGTGCTTGTACTGCAGATATCACAGGGAACACCCAGAGGCCGCCAGGAAGGACAAGGATAGCGAGTTTGAAGAGTGGTTTGAGTCTGACAACCAGCGTGAGCTTAGGCAGATCTTCACTGGGCAGAGTCAGATGTTCGAAATGATGCGAGAACTGAACCGCAAGCTGGATGAAGTGGTTGGGCGGCAGGAGCGAACACTGAGCTTACTGTCGTCTGTTCAGGCCGGTGTTGCACCACCAGGCGGTATGTCACAGCAGCTTTATCACATTAAATATTATGGTCCCCTTGTGACCTTGTAGTTTGTAGGGCAAAATCATGACATAAAGATAAGAAACAAATGTTTTGAAAATTGGGCACAGTTCAGATATTTGGGCATGACAATAACAAATCAAAACCTGATTCAGCTGGAAATTAAGAGGAGATTGAACTTGGGTAATGCTTGCTACCATTCAGTCCAGAACCTTTTGTCTTCTTGTCTGCTGTCTAAAAACATAAAAATTAGAATATACAAAACTATATTTTTGCCTGTGGTTCTGTATGGGTGTGAAACTTGGTGTCTGACATTAATGGAGGAACATAGACTAAGGGTGTTTGAGAACAGGGTGTTTAGGAGAATATTTGGACTGAAGAGAGATGAAGTGACAGGAGGCTGGAGAAAACTGCATAATGAGGAGCTTCATAACTTGTATTCTTCTCCAAGTATAATTAGAATGATCAAGTCAGGGAGGACGAGGTGGACAGGGCATGTAGCACGAATGGGGAAGAAAAGGGATACATGTATAATATTGGTGGGAAAGCCAGAAGGAAAGAGCCCACTGGAAGACCAAGGCATAGGTGGGTGGACAATATTAAAATGGATCTTAGAGAGAGAGAGGATGTGATGGTATTGATTGGATTGATCTAGCTCAAGATAGGGACCAGTGGAGGGCTCGTGAACACGGTAATGAACCTGTGGGTTCCATATAATGCTGGGAAATTCTTGAGTAGCTGCAGATTTGACTTCTCCTCAAGATGGGCTCAGCTCCACGAGTAAGTAAGTAAGTAAGTGTAACTTATAAGCACACATTGAAATGAAATGGTGTTTTTTTATTTTATTTTAGACTTGGGCATCTTACTGCTACTTTGCAAAATAATATGATTTTCTAAATATTAGACTGAAATGTCCCAAAAGCAGTACTGTGAGTCTTCCAGTCATGAGTTTTACCTGTTACAGGCGCTGGGCAGGCCCCGGGCCAGCCAGTGCTAGTAGACACCATCCGGCGCCATGAGGTGGAGCTCGTTTTGAGCAACACAAATGCCATCCTGAACGCAGCTCGAGATATAAAGTGAGTACTCGTCACTGTAAGGCTGCCTTCAGAGGACTGAAAAGAAGTTTGTTAAATAAGTATAAATTGTTAGTAGTAAAGGCGTCCGTGTTCTGGGATGCAACACTGTATACACGGCTACAGTGTTTCTGAGCGAGTGAGACCTGATGTGAAATCATGAAAAATAATAACTTTCATAACAAGTGATGTATTACTAAAATGCACGAAAATGTAAAAATATGCTCCTTGGAAAGAAGAGAAACTTTTCTTCTTTTTGGTCGGGCTACAGCATTTTGGTCACAGTGATCTGTTACATAACACACTGTCACATCCCAGAAGACACTTATCTCCTCTCACTATCTGTTACATTACACACTGTCACATCTCAGAAGACACTTATCTCCTCTCACTGTCTGTTACATTACACACTGTCACATCTCAGAAGATACTTATCTCCTCTCGCTGCACAGCAGACATGACGTTCTAAATGTTAAGAACTGGTTCATAGATCAGGTGTCATGTTTGAGTTGTGTGGGTTATGTTGTCTAATTTTGTCCGTGCAGTATTAACAAGTTAGGAAGGACATATGACACTTTTCTTACATTAAAATATAATTTTATAATTATGCCAGTAGCCGGAGTATATAGAATTGAATGCTAGGATCAATAATGAAAAGAAAGAATTTAGAAAGCTGAAGGATCAAGATGCTGCCCTGGCCATGAAAAACCTCTGTCAGTGTAGCATATTTTTGGGCCAAGTTTGAACAGAGCACCTCCCAAGTACAAGTCCAGGACATTACTGGTACACTGTTGCTCTCAGTTCAGATGTTTCGGTCTGTACGTTTAAGCTAACAGGAAGTATAAAATGTTAATTGCACAATTCAGTGATTTATTTATTTGTAGAATTTTCTTTACTACTGATTTCACTTACTTTAATTTTGTCAGATGTAACCTGAAAATGCAGCACCAATGCTCTATGTATAGTTGTTGAGATGTAAACATTATTGCATACAGAATTCATGTTATGCTTATGATGTTTACATAACAAATTTAATGTGTGTGGTTCTGATCATGTCACTGTTTCTTCACTGCATATTGGAGCTTATGCACCACTTTCTGAAGAGTCAGTTACCAAAGAAGGTCACCAGTAAAGAGATGCCATGAATATATTGAATTTGGAAATTATGGGTTGTCGTGTATTACCCACTGTAGGCAACACTAGTTTGTGCACGATTTTCATTTTGCAGAACTCTGACGCAGGAAGTTCATGCCCGTTCAGATTCCATACTGCAGAACCAAGCTCGCCAGCCTACAGCACAAGTGCAGTCTGTGGGTTATGATATGGCAAGCCTCGTCAGTGAAATGCGAGATGGACTGAATACAGTAAAGCGAGATGTTGCTGCTGCTAGCCAGCGACTTGGAGGTGGGAATGGATCCCCTGGGGGCTGTCCACCACGAACTACCTGCTTATCCACAACCTACTTTCTCGTGTTTGGTGCATTGCAGGTTGCAATTATTGTGGGATATTCTCTCTGGAAGTGAGTGACATCAATTAGTTGCTGCATAATCTGGAAATACATTTGAAAACATATTCTGAAGGTACCTTTGTTAGATCCTAGACAGAAATGGTGATCTCAGTTCTCATTCTTTTCCTTAGCGAGCCTGTGATTTCTTTGATGAACCAGGGAATTTCTAGACCAACTAAATAATTATCAGTTGCTGTAGGAAGACCATATATCATCAATTTAGGAACATACTATAGCAGATTAAGCAACAGTCATACAGTGTTGTACTGGAAAGGAGAATTCAGGGAATTATTTATTTTAGGGACAACATAGAAGCACAGACCAAGACTGTCTCTTTCTTAACACCTCCAACAGAGGCAGAACCTTTCCTGCCTTTTGTCTGATGGAAGGAAATAGTTCCTGATGTTTTGTGTTTGAATAAACCCATTGGTGGGCATGGTCTGAAGTCATGTCATGTTTAATCTTGTACAGGGTGATTCACTTGGAGAAGGCTACAGATTAATAATTATGTCATGCAGTAATTTACTGATGAAATGAAATGTGGCAAACACATACCTTGGTAGGCGTGGAAGTGACTGGGTTACGGAAGGTTATAACATGGTTTCCCTCCACCTGGAATCACAGGCCAACACAGCACTCCATGTTCACAGATGTTGCAGCCAGCACAGCAGGAGGAACCACGGACTGAAGGAAATGGAGTTAACCATGCCGGCAGATGTGAAGCAGTGCCGCAAAGTATGAAGTCCTGCCAAGTTTAATTTTTGAATGATCTGTAATTGTTAATTTGGAGCCTCCTCTGAATGAATCACCCTGTATAGTGTTGCTCTGGACAGGAGAAATGAGTCCATTACTTATTTGTTTCAGGGACAACAGGGAAGCACAAGCAAAGAAGTTCTATTGAAGACAATAAGAGTAAACATTGTGATCATCGGGTGGCTGAGGCTCCATGACCGTGACACCTCATTCTTTATGTCATGGTGGTTGAGTTAGACAGACAGTGACATAGTTACTATGTTACTTTCATAATGACGCTGGATGTTGTTCAAGCCAAGAAAGAATTCTGACTGCTTGGATATTGCATCGGTTTTCTGCATATGTCCCATCATTAGGTGTTATTCTTCACTATATTATGGATATGTTTTCAACGAGTGATCAGACGTGGTCACCAAATTAATTTGTACCATTTGATTGCAGAATACAGCATCGTGTTGTCATCTGGTAGCTGACGCTGAGCACTGATCCTGTGTATAGATGCATTTAACCCATTCAGGTGTTACAATTGTCTATTTTCTGTTTGAAGCACTTTATTGAGGCTAATGGAGCATCTTTAGGTAGGAAGTTCTCACAGCTGACTGTCTTCTGGGGTGTGACACCATGTAGTGTCATAGATCATTGCGGATACTTCGCAGTAACCTCCTGCCTTGCTGAAACTGGAGACGAGGTTGCTCTGAAATCTTTGATGTTCAGGCTTAAACGTTTTAAGGCGATACATCCAGTTGCTATGCCTTGGAAGGTGTGCATATACATTTTTTTTAATATATAGTGACCCAAAGTACCAATATTTCTTTACATTAATACTGAGCTTCTGCCTGATCAGCTCCATTTGATGTAGCTGAGAGTGTTCTTCCCCGAGGAAGGGCATTTAACATCAGCTGAAAATGTTAACCCTTTCACTGTTATGAATTGAACTGTTTTGCCAGTACAGAGTGGTCTGACATTGTGGTGAGAAATGGCGCAGAGAAAGGAAATTAAAATAAAATAATTTGCTTCTGATAAAAATTAAATTTTAGAGGTGACAAATGTATTATATGTATATATAAGCATCGGTTGAAGAATGTAGGCAATTTTTATGAGGTTTGAGATTCTCAGCTGTGACTGAAGATTACCATCTTCAGGGGTGTGATACTGTGTAGTCTGTTGGAGCTTTACCAGTGTTTCGGAGGAACATGCTGCTTCCTTGTTCAGACTCCTACGCTGAAGATTTTGGTAGCACATTCCTCTGTAATGTTGTTAAATATTTACCAGACCAGAAGGTGTCACATGAGAGAAAACATTGATGTGATATTAAATATCTGAGTACAGTGTCACTCACATATGGCAACAGCCTAATTCCTTCATGTTCAGCTACACATATTCCCAGCATTCTATGGAATCCAAAGTTCATTACCATATTCACAGGTGCCTGTCACTGGTCCCTATCCTGAGCCAGGTAAATTCAGTCTATGCCCTCCCAGCATATTTTTTATGAACTATTGTAATATCATCCCATTTATATATAGGTAGGCTGCGCCATAACTCAAGCGGTTAGTCGCTGGCTTCCCACTGTGGCGGCCCGGGTTTGATCCCGGGTCTGGTCAAGTGGGATTTGTGGTGGACAGAGTGGTGCTGGGGCAGATTTTCTCCGAATACTTCGGTTTCCCCTGCCAATCTTCATTCCACCAATTGCTCCACAGTCACCCTCACCTATCATCTGGGGCTGGTACAATAGGCCAGAAGTGGCCGCAGTACAAGGGACGTAGTCCCACCCCACTAGCAATAAGGAAAAAAATATATATAGGATTTCCTAATGGTCTCTTTCTTTCAGATTTTCCTACAGAAACTTTGTATGCACTGCTTTCCCATATGTGCTACATTTTCTGCCCAACTTATCAATTTGATCATTCAAGTGATAATTGTCAAGACATATAAATTATGAAGCTCCTCATTCAGATTTTCCCCAGGATCATATCACTTCATCCCTCATATGTCTAAATATTCTCCTCAGCACCTTCAATGTGCGAGAACAACTTTCATGCCCATTCACAACCTCAGTAACAGCAAATTAACGAGAAGGAAACGTGTCTGTATACTGAAGTGCACATTCAGACAGTCGTGTGAATATTGGGTAACACAACTCATTGACAGTTCTTTCACCAACAGTGAAAGTGTTAAAACTTGAAACATTCATTGACATTTACACAAATTTTAAAAATTTTCTCTACAGTATGGTGTATTCTGAATTTTTTTAGATACAGAGAGGATACTAGACCAGTTGCCATGAAATCAAGCATTTATTGTGAACAGTTTATAAATTTAGAATGAGTCATTTGTACCAAAATGAAATTACCTGACCTCATTATCAAGGGAAAATCAGGCAGTTGGGTGTGATGTCCATAATTTCTTGTTGATATTTATAAGGAAGGGATTAGCATTTAGTTGGCAGTTTATAGTGTGTCATTCTAAACACAGCTATGTATTACAGTGGACAGTGCTGTCTTCATGTGCTTCCAGACCAACAGGAGAAGAAATGAATGTCTTATCATATCCGTTCCGTTTATGTGGGGAAGATCGAAACAGATTTTATTGAGATGCCATGGTTTTTTTTACTGTTATTATTATTATTATTCCTATTCCTATGTGTTACATGCATGTGTGTGGTGTGTCAGCACTCTTTTGAGACTGTTTGGGTGCTCTTAACAAGATGGTACTCTTTGAATACGGTATGCATCAGACCGAGTTCCTTTCCGTGGTGTGTGCTGTATGTTTCAAAGTAGTCATCATGCAGTAAAAGCATAATTGGGGTGTTTTGGTTGTGGTGGTATAAGTGATAAAACAAACACTTAATGCAAGTGTTGTCAAGGTGTATAATATGTGAATGTGTAGTGGTTGCAACTGAACATTTGTTGTTATTGGGTGATGTTTTGGGGTAAAGAAAAAACTTTGTGTATATTCTTATATGTTTTTATTTACTTTCCTCATTCAATCCTACTGATGTTGGTCTTTAAAGAGCTTCATCACATGTAAATCATTGAATTTTGACTTGCCATTTCCTTTTTCCCCCCAGACATTTTTTATTGCCTGTTTATGGTTTATTTAGGAGATGGAAAAGCTCAGTTAATATAGCGACAGGCTACTGGCTTGACGGCTTCTAAGAAGTCCAAGATTTTTCTCTTCACAGTGTCCAGACCAACACTAGCACCCACCCAGCCTCTTGTCCACCGGGTACTTGGTGCTTTCTCCCTGGGGGTAAAGTGGCAGGAGCATGAAGCTGATCACTCATTTCTATCTAGTGCCAAGGTTAGGGAAGCAGGAGCTATACCTCCACTCCACCGTATGTCTTCATGGCATAGTGCTTAACTAATTAAGCACAGGGACTTTACTTTTATTTATTGTTTATTTAATGGAATTGCCGGTAATTAAGTCCATGGGATTGAGTCTTTGAGAAGCCGGCATTCACTTGGTCGTGCAAGAATTTCCCAATATTTTGTAGAACTTTAAGGTTCAGTACAGTGTTCATGAAGAGTCCTCTGTCCTGAGCCAGATGAATCCAGTTAATATCATAATATTAATAATATCAATATCAAAATTTATGGAGGTCAATTCAGTGGCTCCCCAGCCACTTGATGCAGAAGATATGGTTTTTTTTTTCTTTTTGCATTAAAGGACTTTGTGAAAAGGGTAGGTGTCTTTAGCATCTTCAAAATATGATTATTACATGGTGCTCATAATGAGACTAATCATGTGTGCCATCACATTCCACCAATATGATTATTTTGTCATCATGAAAGTTTTAATTTATTTCTGGGAATCAAGTTACATGAATATGTTGATCAGCTGAAATGTAAGCTGTAAAATTTCATCCCATAAAATTCTATGAATAAAACCTGGAAATGCATGCATAGCTCAAATTTGTATTGTGCAAGAGGTTAAGGGAGACTGTAGGTCTATAAATTGTATTTAAAATATATCCAATAGCCACATGCATATGTAAATACAGGAACGAGGTAATACTTGCCTCTTACACAGCATACCTCTGCTATTAATTAGGGTTTTCAGAATCTAGTACGTGGTTTAGACATAACTTTGTAAACGTTTGTTACTGCAAGATCTAAGGTCACAACAGCGGTTATGAAGAGTTATATCTTCTACAGTATAACGCTGTGTAGTCCGTTTGACAGTCAACTGATGTTCTAGAGGAACATTCCACCTGCATGTTCAGGGTTGAAGAATAAGTTCTGCTTGCTACCTGTTTCATGCTGGTTTCTTGCTTGGCTCATTATTTAACCCTGAAGTTGGAGGTGATGTATCCCTCTGAGCTGACTTTCAGCGGACTACATGACATAACCCAGAACTCAACTTCCATTCAGTGCGAATCTGCCCAATTACTGACTGCCTTGACAGATATTTCATGGTTTTCCTTGGCTGGGTGAATGTTGGGACTACACACAGGCTTCAATCACCAAAATTCACACTCATAGTTATCTTGCTACCATGTTTGCCCCCGATCACATGAAGCAGAATTGTTGCACAATTTAGGGATCAAGCAATGGAGCCGAGCCCTTCTTGAAAAGCTGCCAATTGTGCAGCTACTCAAGAGCTTCCCAGCTATTTATGGATCCCAAAGTTTCATTACTGTGTTCACAAGAACCCTCCACTGGTTCATATCATGAGCCAGATCAATCCAATCAATACCATCCCACCCTCTCTCTTTAAGATCCATTTTAATTTTGTCCATGTACCTACGCCTTGGTCTTACCAGTGGCTTCTTTCCATCTGGCTTTCCCACCAATATTGTACGTGCATTCCTCTTCTACCCCATTCGTGCTACATGCCCTGCCCATCTCATCCTCCTTGACTTGATCATTCTAATTATACTTGGAGAAGAGTACAAGTTATGAAGCTCCTCATTATGCAGTTTTCTCCAACCTACTGTCACTTCATCTCTTTTCGGTCCAAATATTCTCCTCAGCACCCTGTTGTCAAACACCCTCAGTCTATGTTCCTCCCTTAATGTCAGAGACCAAGTTTCACACCCATGCAGAACCACAGGCAAAATTATAGTTTTGTATATTCTAATTTTTATGTTTTTGGACAACAGACGAGAAGACAAAAGGTTCTGGACTGAATGGTAGCGAGTTCAGTCTCCTCTTAATTTCCTCCTGAATCATGTTTCGATCTGTTATCGTCGTTCCCAAATACTGAACTATGTCACATTTTCAAAACATCTGTTACCTATCTTTATGCCATGATTTTTCCCTGCAGACTCAAGTGTGTTGTTAGGGACTTCATCAGGACTATACTCTAACTGAAAAGAAGGCCGGTTATAATGACTTTTCAGAACTAGGTAGGCCCCCAGGAACAGTAAAAAAGCCATGGGAAATAACCAGTATATTAAAAACGAAAAATTGCTATGTCGACTCGTGAATTCGTTGCTACATTGGCTACTGTAGTTGACTGTAAACAGCTTTTTCAAAATGAAGAGCTCTGGAACAAAGTAGCGGGAACCTACTGGCATCTGACACCATTCTGAGCCCTGTTCAAGGAAAATCGCGAATGCAAAGTCAAATTCTTTCACCGTGAGAGCGAAAACTTGCTTTCCTCTTGCGTACGTGGGAGCCGGGATGGTTCGGCCGGTTCGGCCAGTGTTGTGGTGGCTCTACGGGTTGGACGAAGTAGGGGCTGGGTGGAGGTTCGATCCGCCATCAAGGGCGGGTACTTGGATAGTTCG